AACTCGTGGCTGACTTTGTTCTATTTCTCACTCTTCTCCCATCCAGTATTATGTGGAAGGAAACCCCTGTATCATCTTCTCCGTATTTTAGTAGGTATTTCTAGAAGATCAGGACTCTTTTTAAAACATAACCTCGATATCATTATCACACCTTTTCCTTAATATTATCAAATATCCTGTCAGCATCAAATTTTCCAATTTTCTTGTAAGGGTTATAATGTTATTTTTGTGGTGGTTTGTTGAAATAGGATCCAAATAAGGTTGACACATTACAATAGTTTGTCTCTTAGAGTCTGTAGCTTCCCCTCTTCTCTCTTTTTTTCCCTTGCAGTTTATTTGTGGAAGGCACTAAGTCGTTTGTCCAGCAGTTTCCCATGGATGGTATTTTACTGATTCCATCACTGTGGTGTATTTTAACACGTTCTTCTGTCCTCTGTATTTCCTGTATCAAAGGCTCAATTAGATTCGAGTGTTTTGTTTTGGGTCCGGCATTCTTCATAAGGTGATGGTGTGTTTTTCCATTGGGAGACACATAATGTCTCATTGTCTTTCATTTAGTGATGTTGTTACCGCCCAAGTGGGCTTGTCTGCCCACCACAAGACATGCCAATAGTCAGGAGGCAAGGTGGTAGGAAAGAAAGGACTTTATTACAGCTTGCTAGCAAGAGGGAAGATGGCCGACTCATGTCCAAAAGAACCGTCTCTCAGAACAAAGCCTAACAGGCCAGTTATGTACGGGGCTGGTCTCCAGGTGGGGGAGGTGGCTGGCCTCTGGTTGGGGCAGACATCTGGTCCCAGTTCCTGAGAGTCGTTTGTTATACTGGATATGCATCAGAGAATGGAGCAACGGGCCTTATACCCTGATCTTTCAGTTGTCATTGATGATGGCTATCAGCATGGGCTCTCTGCCTGGGGATCATCATATTCCTAAGGAACTCGAAATAACAAAAGTTATCATCTTAAAGCAGCTGGGAGGGGGCACAAAATCTATAGAACATGTCTGGGCTAGTTAGTCAGAGGTCATTTAAAGTTACAATATGTTTTTCCTTTCTACAATATGGCTTCTCTTATGTCAACCTTGTGTTGAGCGGGTATCAATGTTAGCAGCCATTGATGATCAGTGCCTACATCTATTTTTTCATTAGGGATTGGAAAATAGGAATGTTTTAATTCTGTCTATTTCTGGTAGAAAAAAATATTTTTATAGAAAGAACCGTCCCTGTCTTCTGCAGTTTGGTTATCCAGCACTACAGTTTGTATAGGAAAAACAGGTTAAATGTTTGCTTTCCTTTTATTTACTGATTTTCAACATAAAAGTTGGTTCACAGGCATCCTGCAATAGTAACAAAGTGATAAAGACCATGTTTTTATTGTGTCTTTATGATCTCGTGGATTTACACATATTTGATACTGTTTCAAGTGCATTGAGTTGTAATTGGTGCTCACATTGCCCCATCTTTTGGGAGCAGAAACTACCTCATGTTGCTTTCCTGGATCCCTTTGCCACATCCCCCCCGGTAGTCAGCTGCTTCTAGGCCTTTAATCTTAGAGGACAAACCTAGTTCTAACCCCAGCTCCACCACCTGCCAGCACTTGACCTTGTGAAATTACTCAAATTCTGAGCTTCTGTTTGCTCATCTGTAAAGTGGGAAAACGGTCAGCTCTCCGTATCCACAGGTTCCACATCCACAGATTCAACCAGCCGTAGATTGAAAGGACTACAATAGTTCCATCTGTATTGAAACTGTACAGACTTTTGTTTTCTTGTCATTATTCCCTAAGCAATACAGTATAACTACTATTTACATAGTATTTACGTTGTAATAGGTATTGTAAGTAATCTAGAGATGATTTAAAGCATACAGGAGTATGTGTGTAGGTTATATGCAAATACTGTGCCGTTTTATATAAGCGACTTGAGCATCACAGGATTTTGGTATCTGCATCCCCTACCAATACTGAGGGAGGACTGTTGTCATACTGCCTTTCATTAGGTTGACGCAAGATCAAAATAGTTGAGTACTGGGGCCGGCCTGGGGGCTTAGTGGTTAAGTTCATTCATTCCACTTCGGCAGCCCAGGGTTTGCAAGTTTGGATCCCAAGTGTGGACCTGTGCATCGCTCATCAACCCATGCTGGCGGCATCCCATATACAAAATAGTGGAAGATGGGTACAGGTGTTAGCTCAGGGCTAATCATCCTCGGCAAAAAGAGGAAGATTGGCAATGGATATTGATGTTAGCACGGGGCCGATCTTCCTCACCAAAAAGAAAAGTCAAGTACTTGACAGAGTGTCTGACACAGAGTAAGGGCTAGAAAATGTTAGTTTTATTATTATTATTACATTTGAATTAAGAGAATTGTTAGGGCTTTGGAGCTTATAGATTGTTATGCTGTGTAAAGTCATTAACCCCTCCTGCAAAACAGACTTAATAGAAAACAAGACAGTCTTTTCCATGGATTGGCAAATGGTTTTGCTGTAGCACTGAATGCCACACTTAGAATTCAGAGGAGAGTAGAGAGAAGAGGAAGAAGCATAGGTGTGGAGAGGGCCTGAAACCACCCCCTGAGGCCAGGTGCCTGCAGAGGGCGGAGGGGGATGTCACTTCGGAGCTCCCCGTGCCCTCATTGGATGTGGCCGTTGCCATTGCCATGGTGCGTGACAGGGAGTGAGCTGACTAGTGAAGTGTGAGGCGCAGTGTGAAGCTCAGCCCCGGCTGCCCTCCCACCCGTGGGCCTGAAGGAGACGCCAGTTCGGGGACAGCACGCGGTGGGTGCACTGCAGGTCTTTCAGCCCTTCGCAGCCCCGGACCCAGTTCTCGTGTCGGAGGTCCTTTTCTGCCCTGGTCTCTGATGCCACATTTCCTAAGGAGCAAGGCAAATTCTCTGACATTCCTTGACTCCAGCCCTTAAGCTGGTCTCACCCCTCCCTGGGACTGGGTGTGGGGAGGGCGGGCTCTCTGAGGAGCTCAGTGGGCCTTCTCGGTGTTGCCCTCATTCAAATGTGCTGAAGGGTTAGCTTATTATTAATCTTCTTGTAAAACTCAGTTTTTAGATTTTTGCTCATCTAGTCTGCTGTTTGTTTTTTGCTTCATTTCTTTCTGCTTCTGTAGTTATCAATCCCTGCGTTCTCATTTCTTTGGGTTGATTTTTATTCTTTTTTTTTTTTTTTAAGATTGGCATTTGAGCTAATAACTGTTGCCAATCTTCTTTTTTTTTTTTCCTTCTCCCCAAAGCCCCCCAGTACATAGTTGTATATTCTAGTTGTGAGTGCCGCTGGTTGTGCTATGTGGGCCACCACCTCAGCGTGGCCTGACGAGCAGTGCCATGTCTGCACCCAGGATCCAAACTGGCAAAACCCTGGGCCACCTAAGCAGAGTGCGCGAATTTAACCACTTGGCCACAGGGCCGGCCCCTGATTTTTATTCTTTCTTTAAATTTTTTCTTTCAGGGAAAGATTCACCCTGAACTAAAATCTTTTTTTTTTTCTTCCCAAAGCCCCCCAGTACATAGTTGTATGTGCTAGTTGTAGGTCGTTCTAGTTCTTCTGTGTGAGCCACCACCACAGCATGGCAGCTGATGGACTGGTGATGTGACTCCACAATTGGGAAGCAAACCAGGGCCACTGAAGCAGTGAGCTCCGAGCTTTAACCTCTAGGCCATCAGGACTGGCTCTCTTTAGATTTTTGAGTGGAAAATTCGGTTCACTTAGTTCCGCTTTCTTATTTTCTACTACATGCATTTAACATGTTTATTCATGCTCTCTCTCTTTCAGTTCTAAATATTTTATAATTTATATTTGAATTCCTCCTTGTGAATAACCTTGAAGTGTGTTTTTGTAAGTTTTCATAGGTATGAGGTTTTTTTGCTATAATTTGCATTATTGATTTCTAATTTTATTACACTGTATTCAGTGAATGTGACTTCTGGGAGGTCATATTTGGGGAAACTTGTGAGAACCTATTTTGTGGCCTAAATTATAATGTTTTTATCAATGTTTCATGTATGCTTAAAAAAGGAGTATTCTGGGGCCAGCTCTGGTCGCCTAGTGGTTAAGTTTGGTGCACTCTGCTTCGGTGGCCTGAGTTTGGTTCCTGGTCATGGATCTGCACTGTTCTGTTAGTGGCCATGCTATGCTGGGAGCCCACGTAAAAAATAGAGGAAGATTGGCATGGATGTTAGCTCAGGACAAATCTTCCTCAGCAGAAAAAAAAAAAGTAATTCTGTTTGCTAGGTGCTGAGTTCTTAAAATAGCAATTAGCTTAAGTTGGCTGAGTGTGCTGATCAAATCCTCTTCAGCTTCACTACCTGGCAAAGTTCTCATGAAAGCCACTGCACTCTGCCAGCATCTGAGACACAAAAATGTCCTTTTAGGGCTGATTTGTTTGGTGCATCTCACAAAACATATCCAGGCCAAGGAAGACAGAGACTTTTCCATCTTTGCAAATAAGATTAAATTTGCTGGAGTCTGAATTCTTTTGGTCGCAGTTTAATTAGCTTGTAAAACCTAGGCTCTGCTTTCAAGTTGATAATCTTGGCTGCCCCAATCATGGATATTTGTGCAGTACAATAATTTGAGTGGAACTGATAAGTATCCTCATGCAGAACAAAAATTGGGGGCTGACCATTGCCCATGTCCGAGCTTCAGGCATTATTTGAAGTCCTTTGCGCTTGGTCACTGTGGTTGCATGGGTGTCACATAATTTCTCTGAGCCTTGTTTCTTCATCAGTTATGTGGATATAACACCATCTGCTGTGTTGATCAGAGGGTTGTGGTGAGGCTCAGTCGAGACAATAGACATAAAAAAGTACTTTGTAAACTGTAAAGAGATCCTCAGCTATCAGGTGCAGGTTGAGGGCACCACGTGAAGAAGCAAGTGGAAGTGGTCTCAATGCATATGAACTCCTTTTATTTTTCGGAAGGAGGCTGGACAGGGTGAGGTTGAGAGAAATGGTCAGGTCCCTGGAACTCTCCATTGTCCTTCTCTTCCTTTCCCTCAGTGCAAAATACAGAAACCGCAGCCATGACCACCCACGTCACCCTGGAAGATGCCCTGTCCAACGTGGACCTGCTGGAAGAGCTGCCCCTCCCTGACCAGCAGCCATGCATCGAGCCCCCACCTTCCTCCATCATGTACCAGGTAAATTCTCCCAGAGTACTGGGCATGAGGGGGTTCAGGAGCTCTGGGGACCCCCTAGGAGGGTTTGCCTTGAAGGCGGAGGGACGTGGGAGGTGTGCATCTAGAAGGTGAGAGGTCGTGAGCTGATGGAGTCCCTGTGCACTGGTGGAGCTGAGAGTGAGGAATAGATTAGCTAGTAGATGGACACCAGGGCTCTTTCTCTTCCCCAGGGAAGGCTTGTTGATCTGCTCTGACCCCAAATACCTTCCCAGCTGTTCTTGCTGCGGCACCAACCAAGGTTTGGGCAGCTCTGACCTCATGAAATAAATATTGCAATTTAGAAACCCCTAGAGCCTGCCTGGGTAATTACTTCTCCTTCATGTATGTGTGAAGAGCTCTGTAACTCCCCACAGCAGCTGATGGCTCGGGGAAGCCGTCCCAGTTGTTTGCTTTTGCTGAGAGAGGAGAGCTTGTGATAAACCACAATCGGTTTGCTCAAACTGTGATCCCACCAGGTCCTGGTAGGAAGGACATCGGTGCAGCTGGAGTCCACCTTGCAAATAGCCCCTTGTCTGGGTGTGCCGGGCGCCTATGCCATGCTAGGAAAGAATAAGTTAATTTGAGATTTTTAGCTGTATTTGACCTTTTGAAAGTTCTTGGACTGCTAAATGAGACTAAATATAAATAGATAATATGTTTTTAATTTCATTCAATGGTTAGATTTATTAAGCATATGCCTGAAGTTTCAACTCATATACTTGGTTTATTCACATTTTTTAACCCAGATTAAGTATTTAAATTATGTAGATATCTTTTATTACAAGCAATACAGAAAAGTTTAACATAAAAATTTCCCTGTAACTACACCTATATATATACATACACATCTTTTTACCATATTTTTTTTTTTTTACCAAAAGGGAATCATACTATATATACTGTATATATTACTCTATGATTTGGTTTTTTTTTAACTTAAAATTTGTTATGGATATTTTTCCATGATAACTCTACAATGCTGTCACATTATTTTTAACTACCACATAGTGCTTATGAGTCCATTGTATGGATATACTGTTATTTATTTAGCCTTTCACTGTTAGTGGGAATTTGGATGGTTCCCAGTTTTTTCTATCACAAAAAAATGCTGCAGTTATTATCCTTGTATATGTGTGTCTGCACCCTCAGGTGAGTGTTTTTGCAACTGCTGGATGAAGGCAATACACATCTTAACTTTTCACAGCTATTTGGGCTTCTATAGTGTCAGCATTTACTTCTGAGGCTCGCTGCATGAACCTGATTAACCACCGGTGGGAAGCAGATTCGGGCCCTGTCTATAGCCAGCTCCTGCCCAGCGTGATTCAGAGTGGGCTTTCTTGGGGGGAAGATGAGAGCGTGATGTGGAGATAGGTTTCCATAGAGAACTTGTGGCATTTGTTGGCAGCTGTTGTTGCCTGGATACCCAGCCACTTTGAACCTGTTTTCCAACAACCAAGAGTTCCTGTCCTCTCATTCCCACAGGCTAACTTTGACACAAACTTCGAGGACAGGAATGCATTTGTCACAGGCATTGCAAGGTACATTGAGCAGGCTACGGTCCACTCCAGCATGGTAAGTCTCTGTGACCCTCATGGACAGATGCGCTCCCTGCCAGGGCAGGAGGGGCTGTGGGCAGCTTCTCATACCAGGGGCATGTGCTCTCCTATTCCAGGAAGCCCCTACCTCAGTCAGAGCTGTCTCCTTAAGCCCATTCTCATACCCTGCCCCATCCCTTCTCAGTGCCTCAGGGCATACTGTTCCGTGCATGGGAGAAATATGAAAAGAACTCTGCTTGGGTAGTAAGTTTCATTTGTTAGTTATGTGTAGAATTAGTTGTAAGGAGGAGTGAGTGAGGTGAATAAATTGGTTGAGATCATTAACGTTATCTACACTGGAGATATTAGAGGCATTGGCGTGGCGGATGGCTAAGAGATTATGAATATGAGAGACCCTGGAGGTTAGCTCTGCCTGGCTTAGCAATCAGCTGGATGCTGGAGCTGAGGGAGCGGGACCTACACTGACTGCCGTTTCCTAGATTTACCAGGTCAGGGGCAGCAGTAGGGAAGTCAGAAGAAGGGGCTATTTCAGAGATGGATTGTATTAGTTTCTTATTGCTGCTGTAAGAGATTATCACAAACTTAGCGCCTAAGACAACACAAATTGATCTGCTTACAGTTCTTTCGGTCAGAGGACTGACATGGGTCTTCCAGGCTTAAAATCAAGGTGTCCACAGGGCTACATTCCTTCTGGAGGCTCCAGAGGAGAATGTTTCTTTGCTTTTTCCAGCTTCTAGGGGCTGCCCACATTCTTTGGCTTAGCCCCCCTTCCAGCCAGCAATCACATCACTCCAATCTCTGCTTCCATCCTCACATCTCCTTCTCTGACCCTCCTGCCTCCCTCTTTCACTTATTAGGACCCTTGTCATTACATTGGGTCCACCAGATAATCCAGGATAGCCTCCCCACCTCAAGGTTCCTGACTTAATTACATCCGCAAAGTCTCTTTTGCCATGTAAGATATTATATTCACAGGTCCTGGGGATTGGGATATGGACATCTTTATTCTGCCAACACAGGGGTAGTGTTGACATGGTTTTGGATGGGATCAAGAATAGGGTGTACTGTTGACATTCGTGGATGATGCCAAAATGTCACTTCAATCAACAATTTCCACCTTGTACCTTGCTCAGTCTTTCTCTAGAGGAGCTGATCAGCAGCAAAGTGGCTTATTAGATGCTCATCTTGTATTTCTTCCTGCCCGTACTTGGGCAAGGTGAATCTCTCAAAGGGCAGCATAGCCAGACAAGGAGGAGAAAGTGTGTAAACCACATAATTGACCAGCTACGGCAAACGGTCAAGGGTTCTTTGCTGAAAGTGAGATGGGAGCTGAGTGTCCAAAGTAAGTGCTGAGGGATACAATCTGTCACTACCAGCCCTGAAATTAGAGCTGAATTCGCATTGGGTTTAAGTCATGGACTTACAGACTCTTATAAATATAAAGGACCTTGGAGATCCTTAGTCCTGCAGCTGTCAACCTAGGCTGTGCATCAGAATCACATGGAGATGCCTGGACCTCTCCCGCAGGGATAATGATTGACGTCCGGTGGGGCACAGCCTGAGCATGAGGAGTTTCCAAAGTTCCCCAGGTGACTGTTGTGCAGCCAGTGTTGAGAACCAGTGATAAAAAGAGCCTCTTTACCTCGAAATGAGAAAAACCATGACATTTTCAAGGTAAAAGTGGAGCCCAAGCAGAGTCAGGAACAGCACTCAGTCTCTGGCGGCCCTACAGAGGCTCTTTCCACCCACTGTCCTGACCTCTATGTTCCAGGCGTACTTATGCAACAAACTGGTTGATGGTCACCTAACTGTCCATAGGGCAGAGGCCACATCATTCCTGTTCACCACCCTATTCCTAGCATGTAGCACAGAGCCTGGGACCCGTGAGTGCTCAGTAAAACCTTCATTGAATGAGTGAGTTGGAATACACCTACTGGTGGGCAGTTTGGTGCTAATAAGTAGACACCTGTTCCCTGTGTTACTGTCACTTCCCTTTTTTGGCACGTGCTCTGAAGCAATGGCAGCAGGAGACCCACAGGCTTGATCTTGGTTCTCTCTGGTCTCAAGGACAACATGTTACTGATTTAAAAAGTCCTCTAAATTAAGAATTGAAAGTGTGACTCATCATTTTGAAAGTGTGACATTTGCTGTTGAAAACAAAACTATAAAAAATAATAAACTCCAAACTGAATCTGATCATGTGCTAGGACGACATTATGAAATAGGTATGATATGTGGAATAAAAGATAAATCAGTCAATGTTCATTTTTGTATCGATAGAAAGATTTATAAAAGAGACGGTCTAGTAATACTCTTTTTTCTTGTAGTTGGTGAGATATACGTCGTATAACATAAAATTCAGCATTTAAAGTGTACAATTCACTCTGTTTTAATATATTCACAATGTTATACAACCATCACCACTAATTTCTATCACTACAAAAAGGAACCCCAAACCCCTTAGCAGTCACTCCCAGTTCCTCTCTGCACCCATCTCCTGGCAAACCCTGATCTACTTTCTGTTTCTATGGATTTATATGTTCTGAACATTTCATCTAAGTCAATCATACAATGTTGGCCTTTTTTGTCTGACTTCTTTCACTTAGCACGTTTTCAGAGTTCATCCATGTTGTAGCATGTGTCACTACTTCATTCCTTTTTATAGATGAATACTATTCCACTGTATGGATACACCACATTTTATTTACCATTCATTGGTTGATGCACATTTGAGTTGTTTCCACTTTTTGGCTATTTGAATAATAATGCTATGAGCAAGTGTGCACGTTTCTGTGTGCACGTATGTTTTCATTTCTCTTGAGTTTATACCTAGGAGTGGAATTGCTGGCTCATATGGTAACTCTGCATTTAACTTTTTGAGAAACTGCCAGCCTGTCTTTCTTGGTAATAATACTCTTAACTCCCTTTGCAGATTACCTAGTGTGCGTGCATGTGTATGTATATTCCATTTAATTCTCATAAAATTCTCTGAGGTTGTTATTGTCATCGTCATTACACAGATGACCAAATGGAGAATTTTAGGTTAAGTGACTTCCTGAAGGCCAAAGGGCTAAATGATGAAGCTGGGATATGAGCCCACATATTTGGACCCTGAGTTTTTAGGGCTCTTTCCACAGTAGCGCTTACTAGGTGAGGTGAGTCATCACTGTAGTTTTCAGATTTATTTTTCATGCCGTTGTGGGTTTTACATCTGCTCTATATTATTTTTAAAAATTGATCTCAATCATTTTTCTGCTTATGAAATAGTAAGATAGGTTCTTAGAAAAGTGCAAACATTATAGTATTGTATGGTATGAAAAGTGAAAGCCTCTATTTATCCAGCCCCATGGAGAGCTTGCTATTCATAGCTTGGTATATATTCCACCAAAATATTTTTCAATACTCAATAATATGCTCTCATAATTATTACTTTTTGTTTGTTTTTTTTAACCTCTCTGCTATATATGCTGTTTTGCTACTTGCTTATTTTCTTGCTATCAGTATATCTGGGAGAACTTTTGCTGTTGGAACAAATAGATCTGCCTTCTTCTTTCTAAGGTGGCCATCCATTTTTCAAAAATGTGGCCTGCTTGTAGAGCCCTTAGGTGTCTGTTGAGGATAATTAGGCCAGAGCCTCTTAAATGTATTATGCACCTGGGAGTATGAGTCAGGGGGGAATTGTATTGAAATGCAGATTCTGATTCCATAGGCCCAGGGAGGGGCCTGAGATTCTGCGTTTCTCATAAGCCTCCAGGTGATGTCGATGCTGCTGGTCCACAGACCACACTGTGAGTAGTAAGGATTTGGGGCGGCTGTTGAGAAGCCTTGTGGCACCAGCAAAGTTTCTCCCTGCTGAGAGTGTTTTGCTTTTCAGAATGAAATGCTGGAGGAAGGGCACGAGTATGCCGTCATGCTGTACACCTGGCGTAGCTGTTCCAGGGCCATCCCCCAGGTGAGACCGTCCTTGCCGAGTGGGTCTCCTGCCCCTCCAGAGAGTGCTACCACCCTCCACCACACCCCCCTCCAGATTGCTGGTCTCCTCTAGGTGGCAGGGAGTGAGGCAGGGTCTCTTATCCAAGGGGACACGCTGAAGACATTCAGAGAGCTTCCCATAAAACTGACAACAACTTAAAAAAAAATTTGTTCAATATATTTCATTTCAAAAGTGGTATATGCTAACTGTACAGCACCCAAACCATGGCAGGAAGGTATAAAGTAAAAAGATATCCACACCTCCTCAGCCCACCACCCAAACTCACCTCCCACCAAAGCGTAGTCACTGTGGACACTTCGCTGCATATTCATCTGGATCTTTTTCATTTAATATCATGAATATTCCTGTGAATATTATTTTGTAAATTATTATCATTTACAAACGTGTGTTGTTTCTTGTTTATATTATTCTACCAGTTACTTTTTTCCTCGTAATTCTTTGTTACTGACTTTTTTCATGTTGATACACATGGATATTATATTATATTATATTATATTATCATCATCATATAATTTGTGGGTCCCATTGTAACAATCAACAAACCACAGGTGTGTAAAGTAAGCAGCAGCTATTCCTCTCCCTTCCTCCAATCCCAGCCCCCAGAGTTAATCACTTATTAACTGTTTGGTTTGCACTGTTTCGGATTTTCTATGCCTGTATTATATACGGACACACAAACACACACACTTTTGTTTAACAAAAATGGGATTAAATTACACTTACTGTCCTGCAACTGTCCGTTAATGGTAGCCGTCTTTCCATGCCAGTTCACCTAGATCTGTCTCCTTCCTTCTATCAGTTACATAATGATATTGCATGAATGCATCATATTTTATCCGTTTAATCATCAATGGATGGATATTTAGCTCGTTGCTACCATTTTAAGAATTTCTAAACAACAGTGTGAAGAACGTCCTTGTGTCACCCTTGGCTCACTCTTCAGTTTGGGCCGAGCTATTGGCAGTCTTGGGTGTGCATGCTGTGAACACATCTGCCACGTGATTCTGATGTGTTGAAAACCACTGGGCAGAGAAAATGGGTTTCTTGATGGGCCCAAATATGGCCAGGGGGCTTTGCCCCAGGTGCATCTGGAGCAATGGACAGAGTGTTTTTCTCTGTTTAGCATCCAGTGGGGCTGCACTGGAGTAGGAGTGGGGAAAAGTCCAAAGGAGGGAGACCTTGCAGATCAGTGTGGATGTGTGTACAGCTCATGGTGAGGGCACAGAAGAGATGGAAGGGGAGGAGGGTTCTCTTCTTGGGACCTGCTGGTTTCTTTCCTGCAGCCAATGTCTGGGAAGCAGTTCTGCCCCCAGTCAGACCTGTCAGACAGGGCTATCCCAGTCTCCTCTTGCTAGGGTGACCATATCTTTTATCATCCTAGATGAGGTGCATTCAAGAGTGAGAAAGGGCTCTATTAGTAAGACAATAGGGGTGAACCAGGACTGCCTGGGCAAACCAGAATGTATGAAACCCCCTCTCCCCGCAGGTGAAATGCAACGAGCAGCCCAACCGAGTGGAGATCTATGAGAAGACAGTGGAGGTGCTGGAGCCAGAGGTGACCAAGCTCATGAAGTTCATGTACTTTCAGGTGAGGGTTCAGAGGTGGATCTGGATCAGGAGACTTGAGAAGGCCCCCTGCTCTTCTAGACACCGGGGTCTGGATTTTTGTGCCATATTATTTATTCATTCAGCAAATACTTTGGGAGCCCCCGACACACCCGTGGGTGAGCACGACAGACAAGCCCCCTCTCTCCATGTAATTTACATCCTAGTGAGCATATGAGTGTGTTTTGGGTGGGAAGAGAGACTGACAATAAACAGTACACAACACTTTTCAGGGCATACTAAGTGCTGTGAGTAAAATTTTGAAAAACTCTGGGATAGAAGGTGTCTGTGACGTGGGTGTAGCTTTAGGGATGGCCTCTCAGAAGGTGGCATTTGAACTGAGATCCATATGGTGAGAAAGAGGCTGGTGTCTGATGACCTGGAGGAAGAGGGTTTCAGGCAGAAGGAACTGCAAAGGCAAAGGCCCTGAGGCCTGAAGGACTTGACGTGTTTAAGAAATAGGATGAAACCAAGGAGGCTGCAGAGTGAGAAGCGGGTGTGACACCAGGTGAGGTCGGGGAGGTAGACAGGGACCGGATCATATAGGGCACTGTAAGCCATGAAGAGAATATGTGGATTTTATTCAAGCACCATAGAAGCCGCTGGAGGTTTCTAGTGACATGATCTGATTTGAGGCTTTACAACAACGTTCTGGCCACTGTGTGGCAAATGGGAAATGGGGGCAGTACAGGTATGGAAGGTGGGAGGGGAGAAGAGTGCCAGCAGGGAGACCAGCTGGCAAGCCAGGGAGAGTGATCATTTAAAGGAGGACAAGAGAAAAGAGAGCCAAGGGCTTCCATGAATGAAAGGTAAGAGGGCAAGCTAGTTAAACAGAAGTGACAGAGGACAAATAAGGCAAACAGGTTGATTATTATGGTTATGTTGGAAGCTGTTCAGGAGTTCAGGTTGAACATTCTAAAACCAGTCTGCACCCTGGGGTGGGAGTCATGCCACATACCTGCCCTCCGCATGCTCCAGTGAAGAGCTGAGCTTCGTAAGTAGGCTTGCAAACACTGGTCGGATGTCCGCCCTGTTCCCAGCTCGGTGCTGGCCTCCTGGGGGCAGGAGATGGGAATGTCTGGGGAAGGTGCTATGCATGCAGCCCAGGGCAGGAACGCTGGCTGCGGAGGCAGAGGAACCCAAAGGTCGGCCACATTCTGACTGTGTGCCTGTGAGTTACCATCTCTGACACCTTCAGTTTTCGCACCTTGGAAATAATGCCTAGTTCACCAGTTTGTGGTGAGGATAAATGAGGTCACGGGCCCAGTACAGCCCTTGTTACATCAGTTTAACAAACCACAGCTGCTGTTATTAGCCTCCTGGACCTGCCTTCAGGGAGCCTCCAGTCTCTTTGGGACGGCAGGTCCAAGAAAGAAAAACTATCTAGAAACTAAGTGCTAAACTGAGGGCCTCCTGACAAGAGATGTTTACAGAAGGGAGGATCTGGAATAATCTGGAACTACACTGTCCAATACAGTAGCCATTAGCCACACGTGGCTGTTTACATTAATTAAGATGAAATGAAATTTAAAATTCAGTTTGTCAGTTGTACCAGCCATTTCAGGCGCTCAGAAGCCACTCAGTAGTTGAGTAACTATTGTATTGGGCAGTGCAGATATGGAACATTTCTATCATCTCAGAAAGTTTTATTGGACTTAGACTCTGGAAGGAGAAAGTGTGGCTTGGTCTGGTCTTTGAAGGAGAGAAATGTCTGGCTGGTAGCGTATCCCAGGCCCCTGGAGAGATCACATACGTAAGGAGTCATTTCTCTCTCTCCCCCTCGCTCCTCTTCCTCCTCCTCTTCCTCCTTTCTCTGGATTATTGCAGTAGCCTCATTTTATTGTTGTCGTTCAACTGCTTTTTTTTTGGTAACACGTTTATTGAGATATAATTCATATACCATGCAATTCACCTATTTAAAGTGTACAATTCAGTAGTTTTTAGTAAGTTCACAGAATTGTGCATCTATCACTACAACCAATTTTAGAACATCTTCATCACCGAAGAAAAGAAGGCCTGTACCCTTTATCTGTCACCCCATTATAGCTCCATCTTTCCTCTCCCCCGCAGCCTACGTAACCACGAATCTACTTTCTGTCTTTATGGATTTGTCTATTCTGGGCACTTCATATAAATGGAATCATACAACATGTGGCCTTTTGTGCCTGGCCTCTTTCACTTAGCATCATGTTTTCAAGGTTCATGTGTTTTGGAGTATGTATCAATATTTCATTTGTTTTTGTGGATGACTGCTATTCCATTGTACAAATACACCACATTTTATGTATTCATTCATCAGTTGATGGACATTTGGGTTGTTTCCACTTTGGGCCTACTATGAACGGTGCTGCTATGAACATTTACGTATAAGTTTTTATGTGGACATAGGTTTTCATTTCTTTTGGGAGGATGCCCAGGAGTGGAATTTCTGGGTCATGTGGCAACTCTACCTTTAAGTGCAGTAATGGTCTCAGCTGTTCTCTCCGCTTCCATCTTTGCTCTCTGTAGTCTCTTCTCACCACAGCAGCCACTGTGACCCTTTTAAAATATAATTCAGACCACCTTATCCTATTTCAGAACCCTCCCACATCCCCTCTACTTGCTTAGTTGTTGAAGCCCAAGCCCTCACAATGGCCTGCAAGAGCCAGTGGCCCCAGCCTCCCTCTGACCCTGTTTCTGGTTCCTTCCTTATGCTCATTCCATTTCAGTCACTTTCCTACCTCAGGGCCTGTGCACTGGCCCTTCACACTGCCTGGAATACACTTCCCTCAGTTATCCCCTCTCTCTCTTCTCCTCTTTCAAACTCTTTTCCTAAAGGTCACTTCTTGGTGATTTCTTCTCTGATCTTCTTCCTACTAAAATGTACAGCTCCTCCCGCCCTCCCTCTCCCCGCCATCCCCCGCTTTACTGTTCTCCAGAGCACATATCATAATCTAACATAGAGAATTTGTTTATTTTGTTTTCTGTCTTCCCTCACTAGAGTATAAGCTCCTTAGAGTTGAGATTTTTTTTTTCCATTTTGTTCCCTGCTTTACCCCAATGCCTAGAACAGTGCCTGGCACGTCATAGGTGCTTAGTAGATACTATTTATTGGATGAATGAGCCTGTTCCTCTGAATGTCTCTTTCACTCTCCATCTCTACCCCCTTATTTTCCAGTGCCTGATATTGTCCTAGGCACTGGGATACAAACATGCCTAAGACATAGGCTGCTCAGCAGAGTTGCAGTGAATGAGTGAGTCCGTTTGATTCATTTGGGGGCAGGTGCCAGGCTTCCCTCTAGAAATCAGGTTTGGATGTAGGGCCTCCTCTGAGAAAGACCTCCTGGCAGATCTGCCTCTCTCTGAATGCCCAGGCTTCCCCTAGGGCCCAGGGAGCCTTGACCCTGCTCCCCAGCATGTAGTGCAGGGAGCTGCCCACCAGCCTACCCTGTCCTTACTCACCGCCCCTCTGCCTGCAGCGCAAAGCCATCGAGCGGTTCTGCAGCGAGGTGAAGCGGCTGTGCCACGCCGAGCGGAGGAAGGACTTTGTCTCCGAGGCCTACCTCCTGACCCTGGGCAAGTTCATCAACATGTTCGCTGTCTTGGACGAGCTGAAGAATATGAAGTGCAGCGTCAAGAACGACCACTCTGCCTACAAGAGGTCAGGGCCCCCTCGCCACGCCCCTCCTCCTGCGTAGCCAGCCCAGGGAAGGAAGAGGATGGAGCCCTTCCAATGGGTGCCTTCGCCGGCACCAACTGGCCATTCCTCGAACACGGCGCGGTTGGGCCTGAATCTGTTTTCGCGGTTTGAGGAATAAGATGCAGAGCTGAACCTTTGGAGAATGGGGTCTTTGCAGGGTTTTCTGTCTCAACATGGAATCCTCATTTCCCCCACCCATGGAGCAGCACATTCTCTGTTGCCCCATTCAATACGGGACCAGTAAGATAATCATAAAATGGTCACATTACTCATTTCCTGCAAGAATCAGAAAGCCAATTCCAACTGCTTATGTAAAAGAAGGAACTGGATTGGCTCCCAGAACTGAGAAGCCCCGGTGTACCTGGATCCAGGTCCTCAGATGTCGTTGGCCTGGTTCCCTGTGTCACTCAGCTCGACTTTCCTCAGTATCAGCCTCATTCTCAGGCACGCTCGTGCCCTGGGGTGGCCCCCAGCAGCTTTGAGCTTCCCTCCGGCCAGTGTAGCAAGCCCAGCTTGAAAGGAAGGAAAGGATGCTCCTCCTTGCAAATACTTTTGCAAAAGTCCCAAGGAGGGTTGTCATTGCTCCAGCTCTGCTCAGTGTTAACCCTTCCCTCAGTCACTTTGGGGATTGGGGTGTTCTGATTGGAGCACCCCCAGGTGCTCACCCTTGGGGTCAGTGTCAGCTCACAAAAAAGAAGGACTGAGAGTGGGGGAGGAGGTCATTCCTCTCCAGAAATTATGATACAGCCACCTAAACTGGGGGGAGGGCAGTCAAAAGCAACAGATATCCTTTATCTTGTTGAGCTCAGATGAGCTCTGAAGCGTCTGGACATATCTCGTGGGAAGGACTTTTTGGTGTCACTGATGAAGAGGGCCCCTCCTCCTTGAACCACATCCTCCAGGGGCTCCCAAGTAACTGGAGAAAGCAGACAACAGACTGATTTGCAAAATTTTATCCTCCTGAGTGAACTGTGAAGCCTAGGGATGCCCAGCAGCCAGAGTGCCATCTCAAGTCTGACCCAGAAATGGCAGCCTCCACCAAGATTTCATAGATAGCTCGTACTACATCTTGCCCTAGTCTTTCCCCATTTTGGTCAACTCCTCCCATTGTGGTCCCAACGGACATGCCCTGTGGACCGGCTAGGGTCATGAGCAGGGCAGGTGTCTTGTCTGTGTTTCACAGTCTGTCATGACACCAGCTGCACCAACAACAGCTTAGGCTCGAAAAGTCCAGGGCACTGTGTTTTTCTCCCTTTAAGTCCTGCGAGTTCCTGACACCCATCATCCTTTCACCTGTTATCCTGTTAAGTGCGGTGGACTTCTGTTTTCCATACAATGCTTTGCTTTAGAGACTTTGAGATTTTCCTGTAAATAACAGAATGCTCAACAAAACAGAACATCCTGCCTGCGAGTCTTCTCTGTGACCACCGTGCAGTGTCACTGGAGGTCACTGTGAGGCACAAGGATGATTGCTGGGATGCTAGCTGCCCTTACACTTTCTGAGTTGGAGCTTCAGTGCGTTCTTGCCTCTTTATTTCAAGTACCCTTATCAGAAGGGTGTAAACAGCTCTGAAGGATGTGACCCCAGAACACTCTCCTTTGACGTCAGAGTCACCTGTGATATTCAGCGCTCGTTAACCCCCGGGGGACAGCGTAACTCTGGGTTAGGTGGGAGTGGGAGCCCACGAGGCCTGGTTTAGGCTGGCTGTGCTTGAGCATCTTCTCTACAACACCTGTATTTCAGGGCGGCACAGTTCCTGAGGAAGATGGCGGACCCCCAGTCTATCCAGGAGTCACAGAACCTTTCCATGTTCCTGGCCAACCACAACAGGATCACCCAGGTGATGGCAGACTCCTTGTTAGTCCTGGCCTGGCATCCAGGATCACAGGCAGGGGCCTAAAGGCTGGGTGGACCATGAGCAGAGGAGCTCAGTCCAGATCTTCTGTCCCCACCACCCTACTGGACACTTAAGCTGTAGACTTAAGTCTCTCCTCCAACCACAGACTTCCCTTTCACCCTTTCCGGATTTTGTTCTCTGAAAGCCTTCCCAGCCAGTGTTCTGGCCCTGCGTCAGTGGAGCTGGAGAGAGCATGGGTTCTGGAGTTAGATGGTCTTGATTTCTAATCCTACAACCCCCACTGATCCACTGTGAGACCTCAGGCAAGGTCTAAGCCTCAGTTTCCTCATCAGTAATATGGGGCCATTATTTTGAGAATATTAATGAGAATCCAGCTCACAGGACTGTTGTGAGAAATAAAGGAGATACTATAAATAAAAGCTCTTAGCATGCAGAGCCTGACAAATGGTTAGGACATAAGAAGATGTAGCTATTATGACTGCCACTGCTTTGCGAAGGCACCCCCACTCAGCTGTGGCTCCCACGCTCTGCCTGACGTAACCATGACCTGTCTTGCTCATCCGGCAGTTCAACCTAAACAGGCACCAGCAAGAATGTCAGCAGAACCCAGGCCAAAACTGAGAGGGCCCTCCGTCTTCAAAGGGTTTTCAGGCCCAGATCTCTCTCAGGGATGCTGCTGGCTTCACGGGGTCCCTCCTGCTCTTGGTTACGTGCAGAAGGCTGCTCAGTGTTGAGGCGCCAGGTTGCTTTCCTGGGCACACAGCCTCATGTTGCCTGTGGAGACCTCCTTGCTAGTGTCTTCCACTGGATACCCTGCATGGGCTCCGTTTGTCCCTTTGGAGAGAAAGGGCCTGAGGTGGAGACCTCAGACCCTTCTCTTGTGGGAAATGTTTCTGTACTGCTGTGTCCTGCCAGGAGGGGGACACCTGCCAGCCCAGCTCTCCTCCACTGGGCTGGATCTTCTCACCATTGTCTGAGGAGACCTCATGGCTAAGTCCGCACCCTCAAAACTAAGCCAAGATTACTACAGGCCTATTTCTGTAAAGCTGAACTGCTTTTCAGCTCAGCCCAAGAAAGTACTTACTAACCATCAGAAGTGTCAGCAAATAAAATGGAGGGCCCCAAGTGGAGAGAGTTCCATGCCATGCAGATGTGCAGGAGCTGTGACCAACCACTGTGGGGACATTAGGAGAGGATGCAGGGTCCCCCGACCTGGGGCAGTCAATGGGCCATGCGCTGCCACCGCCGCCCAGCAGTGGGCCTTCTGTGTTGCGTTGGTGTGGGTGAGGAGGATGCAGGAGGGGGCTAACAGAGCGGGGTGCTGCTGTTCAGTGTCTCCATCAGCAACTGGAAGTGATCCCGGGCTATGAGGAGCTGCTGGCCGACATCGTCAACATCTGCGTGGATTACTACGAGAACAAGATGTACCTGACCCCCAGTGAGAAGCACATGCTCCTCAAGGTACGCCCGCCGTCACACACCCAGGACCTGGGTTTGCCCTCTGACTTCCTTCTTATTTAAAATCCTTTTTAAAATGTAGTATTTATTTTTTCTTACTTAAACACTGATACAGATCTTACTGCACATAGTTTTGTAACCTGATTTTTTTCCTTTAATGTGTCATATGCACCCTTCCGTATGTCATTAAGGATATTTCTGCAATGTAACTTTTAATGGCTGCCGAGGATTCCATTGTCTGGGGACATTGTTATTGAACAAATCCCCTGTCATTGGATATTTGTTTGCTAAACTGCGTTGAACACTCTTGTAGCACAGTCTTTGTGAACATACGCTTGTCAGGTCAGAGTTCCTGGAGGGGAAATTGCCAACTCAGAGGGAAGGTAAAATCTTCCAGCTTTTGCTCTGTTTTGCCAAAATGGTCACATTTGTTTCATTAGTTTACAAGTTTCATTTTTAAATTATCAGGTAATAGTTATTATTATTAATATTATCATTAATATATTATATTTTTATTATATACTGTCATATAGTATATTAATATTTTGTTATTAACTTGTAATTATTAATATAAATTATTATTTATTATTGTAGAAAATTTGGAATATACAGAAGGGCACAAAAAATTTTAATCTCTCACAATCTCTCCATCCAGAGATAACACTTTTAGCATGTTGACGTATTTCCTTCTAATTTTTCTAAGCTTGTATATTTTCAACATATGCAATATACATAGATTATGTGTGTTTGTAATTTTTATCCCATTTAGTAAATGTATTTGGAATATTATGCAGCCAGTAAGTAATGTCCTAGGGATGAGCTTTCATTTCTGTAGCTGTTCTTCTATTGTTAGCTGCTGAGGCTGTTTCTGATTTCTCTGAAAGCAATAGCATGGAAACAAGCAGCCTCTCCATGTTCGTTATACACGCTGCCTAGCCCCTTGTGATTCTTTCTTCCCCAGAACCTCACCTTTCAAGGTCCTCCTGGTAGTTCACTTTTTCCTCCTCCTCCATGTCACTCTTGCTGTTCTAAGAATCCAGCCCTGTTGGTGTTCCCTTCGTCACGGTTTCCATAGCACCTCGAGAAGTTTGCAGGACAGGACGGCTTTGTGGCTTGTTCGCTCTGGCTTCCTCTGCACAGTCAGAGATCCAGAGAAGTCGCCCACAGTCCGGTGGCCCCTCTTGCCGAGTGCTATCCTGGGCAGTTATGGCAGCTCTGCTCAGACCTGCTGCTTCTACAAACTAGGTTGCTAATTCTAGTCCACTAAGCGCTCTTAGATGCTGCCATCAAATTCTCAGGCCCTCATTTTCTCTCACCTGCCTTTAATCCTTCCACATCTCAGCTTCCCAGCCTTCTTCCTTCTCTCAGTCTGGTCGCCAACAGTTTTGCTTTTCACGGGTCTCTGCAGTTTGTGTTAGTGAACTCTGGTGCCACCAGGCGGCGCCATTCACCCGTAGTGGAAAATTCTGGCAGAACCACAAAATGCAGCTAAGGGGGAAGCCACCTTAAGAGTCCTCTCATCCCCTCCCTTATGTGACTTACCCACAGTCACACAGCACCTGTGAGCCAAGAGAAGCTGCTTGTAGCCTGGTTATTCAGACCCCCTTCAGGCTTGCTGTATGTACATTTGACAGAAAGAGCAAAACAAGCCAGCATTCAGAAAACTGTTAATGGGCTGGAATATCAAGTGTTGGCCTATCAGCCTGCTTGTAGAGCATTGTCAGGTAAAACTGTTACTTTTTTTAATGAAGTCACCAATGGCTCCTTAGGAATCTTTACATTCTTATAGTTTCCTTGGGGAAAGAGATGAATGTTTCACATTCATTCAACATTTAGCAGGTTTTCGTCAAGTGCCTGTGACTGCTAGACCCCAGGGATGCAACAATGAGCAAGATTCATTCGTTTGTCTCAAGAAGCCTCTTGAGTTCATAAACATTGTTGTCATTTGGGTCCGGGTTCAGATCCGTCTCTGCAAATTACTAGCTGTGTGACCTTCGCATGCTGCCTAACCTCTCTGCGTCTCCAATTCTTCATCTATAGAATAAGGTTATTGTGTAGAACTTGACGATTGTTGTGAGAATTAAGGACAATGCCTGTTAAAAGCCCTAAGCACAGACTCTGGCCCATAGTAAGGACTCAAGTAGTGGCCACTGTCACAATTTACTAAAGGGCTGTCTGCATTTCTTAACAGAAATCAAATTTCTTGTTGAAAGGAGACCTATGTGTCCTTTATTTGAAGATGCGTGGGTTTTTATAACAGAATGCGTCTGTCTTGGGGCTGGCCTGGTGGTGTAGCGGTTAGGTTTGCACACCTTGCTTCAGCAGCTCAGGGTTCACAGGTTCGAATCCTGGGTGCGGACCTAGCCCTGCTCATCAAACCACACTGTGGTGGCATCCCATGTAAAATAGAGGAGGATTGGCACAGATGTTAGCTCAGTGACAATCTTCCTCAAGCAAAAAGGAAGATTGGCAACAGATGTTAGCTCAAGGCCAATCTTCCTCACAAAAAGAAAGAAAGAAAGAATGTCTCTCTACAAGGTGTGTGCATGTCCACATGCACAGACCTACTGTTTTTGATTTTGTAACTTTTCCAGTGGATGTGACTTTCTTCTGTGCTTGCCCCTTCTCGCTCCAGGTAATGGGTTTTGGTCTCTACCTGATGGATGGAAATGTCAGTAACATTTACAAACTGGATGCCAAGAAGAGAATCAACCTCAGCAAAATTGATAAGTTCTTTAAGGTCAGCGCCTGAAGCTGGGACCAGGCAGGGCGCCCGGGGGTGGTCTCTCTGGGGAAAGGAATGAAATTAGCCAGCAAGCAGTGGGGCCTGTTGATTGCACTGTAGCTCTAAAGACCAGGAGAGGAGGAGGAGAAAGAATGACAGGGCCTCCAGCTGCCCTCAGCAGGGGAATCTACACGATAGAAGGCTGATTCCGAAAGTCAGACACTTCCCAGCCTCAGGATTCAGCTGGAATTCAGCCAGGAGGCCTTACGATTCTTCCCATAGTGCTTTTTCCCATTCCTGAAATCCCTTGCCTTCTAAAGAAAGGAGTGCATCCCAGAAGACAGCGCCTGCTTTAATTTTTAATATAAATCAGAAGTCACAGAAGCAGGAGTTAAAGACTGGATTTTAAATGGATTCACATTTGCGAAAAGCTGAGGCCCCCTCTGCTGCCCCTGCCTCTGGGCCGAATGCCTTATCAGCGTCCATCACACGCTCTGTCCATTCCAGTGCCTCAGAGATGGGATCTTCTGGCCCCGAGTCTTTAAAAATAAAACCTCATGGATAGATTAAGCCTTTGAGGTTTTCGCAAAGGGATTTCCTATTTGCAATTGAATTCCATGTTGTCAGTTTGTTCCAGCGTTGGGCACTTCAGGCAGGGAGTGGAGCCTCAGGTCAGACATGGAAAAGCCAGGCCTACCATGCAGAGCAGAACCCCTCGGCGGTGTGGTGTAGAGGGGATACAGGCTGGGCCAGGGTCCCCCGACTATTCGAGAGCGAGGGGAAATAAGTCACCAGAAGGCATCCTGTGGCTTAGCTTGGTTTCTTTTCGAGGCTAGAACTTTCACTTATCTCTGGAGCTGCCCGGAATGAAAACAGGGCTTGTCTCACGAGACCCTTAGAAAACCTGCCTCTGCCCGAAGTCAGCGCGGATGAGATGGTGGTGGGGTGGGGGAACTCCACCTCGCTCACACGGGCTGGGTTTTAGGCTGGCTCTGCCTCTTAATAGCTGGATAACTTTGAGAAAGTTACAAAACCTCTCTGAAACTGAGTTCCCCAGCCTGAAAAAATATGAATGCTAAGAGTGTCTCCTTCGTAGGGTTCCCTGGAGGATTCGGTAGGATTCCGTAGGTGAGTCAGAGCCCTGGGTTGTAATGCTGGCTCCTTGACTGTTCTGACTTTGTAGGAAAAAATCCCTTAAGCTGCCTAAGCTTCAGTTTGTTCATCTGTGAAATGGGGATCATAATAGTACTGACCTCACAGGGTTATTGTATGGACTGTTTCTTGTTTTGTTTAATGCAGTGTTTTTTAGAACTGTTTTAGGTTCATAGTGAAATCGAGCAGAAAGTACAGCGATTCCCCGTATACCCCCTGCCCCTCCTCATGCACAGCCCCTCCCATTATTAAAATCCCCCAGTGGAGTGGTACATTGTTAAATCGAGGACCCCACATTGATAACATCATAACCACCCGAAGTCTGTAGTTTACATTAGGGTCCCTCTTGGTGTACATTCTTTGTGTTTTGACAACTGCAGAACATGTATCCACCCTGATGCTATCGTACAGAACAGTTTCACTACCCTAAAAATCCTGGTTTTGAAGCGCTTGGCACAGTGCCTAGTGCATCAGCAGCAGACGGTAATCCCGGCCTCCCCTCCACTTGACCTGGCCTTCCGATGAGAGTCGTCTGCCCTCTCGTGTTAGGTGATATGGCTCCAATTACTTCACACTGTGGAGTTTCTCAGGAAGGCCACACCCTGCCATCCGCATCCGGGTACTCACTCCTAGTCCGATGTTTGAAGCAGCAAGAGTCCTCTAACCAGAGGAAAATTGGAGCAGAAAGGACCCTGCCTGAGGAGCAGGCCATCTGGTCCTCATCCTTCATCTGTTCTGCCCGCTGGGTGACCTTAGACAAGTCACTTTGCCCCTCTGGGCTCAGTTGCTAGAACATAGGGTTGGTTGGAGGCGGGGGAGGACCTGTACACTGACTGGGGCTCTTTTTGGTCCCAGGGTCCCACGGTAGCATCATGGGAAGCAGAAACTAGGGATTGGCCCAGAGGCACATGGAAGCCAGCCTGGCCTGGTGCAAGGCAGCCCCGGCCCCTCCCTCCCTCAGCGTCTCACGCCTGTGTTTGCTTCCTTTGCAGCAGCTGCAGGTGGTGCCCCTTTTCGGCGACATGCAGATAGAGCTGGCCAGATACATTAAGACCAGTGCTCACTATGAAGAGAACAAGTCCAAGTGAGTGCCTGCCGTAATGTCTCTCGGCTCCTGTGAGGATGCCCAGCCCGGGCAGGGGGCGAGGGGCCACTTCAGCCCCTCCTCCCTCCCCAGAGCCCTGGACAAGTGGATCCCATCGGAACTCTGCAGGGGGGCCATGGAGGGCACTCTGAGCCCGGTTGTATCCGCCCTTTGCTGCCGGGGTTCAAAAGGGCTCAGAGCGCAGCCACCCGCCCCTCCTGTCCCAGCGTGGAGCCACGCCCCACCGTGGCCAGCTGGAGTCCTCCTCTGCTCGAGAAGGGGGAGGAATGGCTGGCCCTCGAGGTCAGGTGGAGCAGGGCAGCTTCATCGCTCTTCGGCACCCTGATCCTCCCCTCAGGTTTTGTGTCCAGCCAGTAAGTATGTCACTGAGTGGTTCCTGCAGTTCCACCTGTGAAGTGGGTTGATGGCCTCACCTTAGGTCATCTTACAAACCACCGTCCTAGGTAATCTGTGCTAAGATCTGGTGTGTCAGTGCCTCAGGGAAGTTGGGGGACATCCTGCTATAGCCTTGACCATCCCTTTGACCTTTGAGGTGTTAAGGAGGCTGCTTCTGCCTGCATCTCTTCCCAAAGCCGAGTGACTCTGGCCTTTCTGTACAGAGGGGCCGACTGTCCTTTAGTCAGGGCTGAGGGTGTTACCACCTTAAAAATACGTAAATGGAGTGTCCTTGAACTCCACCAGCTTCGAGCACCTGTGAATGACCTTCACCAAGGAAAGGTGGTTTAGTCTCTTTAAAACCTGCCCACTGCAAGAGTGGGCGGAGGTTTTCTGGGAAAAGCATGGAGTCGAGAATGCTGAACTCATCTGCTCATGTTTCCTGCATCAATTCTCAACCACCTGATGTTGGTTGGGAATAGTGATGTGGCCAGGGTCGGGGGTCAGAGGTTCCAGTGAGCATGTCCCCATCCCACACAAGTAACTCAGAGTAACACCAAAGTGTAAGTGTGACGAAGTCCGTCACCCTCTGTGTAGCCTAATGAGGGCCATTTGGGGGCTTCTTTTGAAATATTAAATTCTTTCCAAAACGTTTATCTGCCTCGTTTGGTGCCCATGCTTTTAGTCTGTCTCCTGGGTCACCCGGCATGGGATGGTGGAAGCGGGTGAAGGGTACTGTCTTTTTTCTCTTGGGGAAGGAGAGTGAAGGTTTTCATTCATTCATTTCCATTGGTTTTCCCAATGGTATCTTTCAAAAAAGAATTGGAGAGGAAGGAGGAAGAGGAGGAGTACAGAGAGAGAGAGTGTGAGCACACGTTCCAGCAGTGCCTCTCAGAATGATCATGGCATCCCTCCACATGGAGTGCTTCCATGTTGCCAGGTCACTGTGGAAAAACAGGCACAGTCCCTTTAGGTTTTTCCCCAAAGGCCCCCTCCGAAGCCAGCTTCAACCACAGGCTATCAGTGCTGTCAGAGTCAGTAGATAGGTTGTGGGAGGTCGCCCACCTTGATTTTTGTTTGCTTGGATTCCAGCCTTTTGTAGCCCTAGAGAGGCTGCAAGTCCCTCCTCGCTCATATAACTGGTAAGTACCGTGGCCACAGGATAGCTAGAAGAGCCTGGGGTTGGGTCTCAGGGAAGGAAGAAGGGCTATTCCATTCAGCCTGCAGTCCCCACGGCATGGGATCTAGCAGGCTCTCTTGCTGTGGCTGGAACGCCTCTTGGTTCCACCCAGGGAAGCTTTCCCCATTGGCTGCGCACCAGGAGCAACTAGTGAGTAGAAAGAGCCTGTCCCGCCCAGGCACCTAAGGCCAGGACCCATCCGACCTCATGATTTTCTGCCCAGGTGGACGTGCACCCAGAGCAGCATCAGCCCCCAGTACAACATCTGCGAGCAGATGGTTCAGATCCGGGATGACCACATCCGCTTCATCTCCGAACTTGCTCGCTACAGCAACAGTGAGGTGAGCTCGCTCTGGCTGCCAGGGTGGAGCCCTGCATGGGCCCAGGGTGAGAAGTCAAGAAGGAAATGTTCACAGGGGATAATGGAGAGCAGGAGTGAGAGGATGTCCGTCAGAGGCAGGAGGGCAGAATGGCCAAGAGCACGGATTTTACAGTCAGACAGAACTGGGTTTCATTCTGGTTCTTCTGCTGACCTTCACAAGTTATTCAATATCTCTATGCATCAGTTTCCTCATCTGTAAAATGCGAGTAATAACAGTATCCTGAAAGGTTCATTGAGAGGATTAAACCCATGATTCATGGAGCATGCCTTGTGCCCAGCAGATAGCAATGGCCCAGTCGTTGTTCTATCTCTTTATGATCCAACCATCTCCACTCTGGATGGCAAGAGAAACAGCTCTCGACACTCATGCTCATGGCACCATCTAAGTATTTTAAAACTACACAGTAATAAATGATCGTTGTAATAAGCCAGAAAATAACAATTAAGAGCAAAAGAAGGCCATAAAAATCTGCTGTAATCCCACTAATTGCATTTTTACTAGCATTGAAATTTTCTTTTTCTGAGTACAGAGACATGATCAATGCGCAAACCTCAGAAAAAATACAGATATGCAAAAGGTGGGAAAATCAGTCACGTGAAATCCTACCACCCGGAACCAACTATGATTAATACTTGGGTTTATATAGCCTTCTGGATCTGTTCCCACATAAACCCTTCCAATAACTATACATGTTGATTTAACAAACACAGGTCCCCTGATTTGAATGCCTTCATCCCCTGGCAGTCCTGGGTGACTCACTATCCCATGTGTGCTCACTGGTTCCACCATGTGGCTGGTGGCCAGAGTGGTCCGGTTTTCCAAATCCTAACTCAGAAAAGATCTTTGATCAACAGGCAACATGTTTGAAATGAAGACAGTCAGACAAATGCAGGTGGTGTGCTTGTTGGACCAGTGACCCACGTTCTTGGGAGGGCTCCTGGTGGACATGGACCAGGATCAAGCCCAGACCTTTGGCTTTCATAACCATATGTGCCAATCAATTGAGCTAAAGCTATGGGAATAATTTAAATGCAGGGGCCTCCTTCATTCCTTGTCAAGTTTTGGTGTGGTCTAAGAATGAATCTGGCTCAAAGTTATTTTTTAAATTATACACTTTATACATGTGTGTATACAGACGATTCTTGTTATTTGCTGCAATTGTGTTCTATAAAGTGGGCATAAACTCTGAATTAGCAAATACTGAACCATTCTCCCTAGAGGAAATGCAGGATTAGGTTCTTGTGAGCCTCTGGTTACAACATTTTCATCAACCAATCAATACGTAACCTTGTTTCATGTGCTTTTCTGTTTAAAGACACCTTATGTAATACATATTGTTGATTCATTAACATTGACTCACAGCCAATGGCACTATAACTCATGTCTGACAAAGCTGATCTAAAACCGATTTTCTGCATAAGGCACTTCATAACCCTCTTACTGTTAGGAATGCCAGGCCAAACTTCAGCACTGCACTGGGGCCATTTTAAATAGTGAAATCATCAGTAAAAAGTACAAAATGTGGAAAATGTGGCACTAAATAGACCACAAAAAGGACACTTGTTTACAGTTCAGAGCTTAAACAAGAAATCAGCATTGCTTTGTTCAACCTCAGCTGGGAACGTGACCAGCTCTTTTTTTTGCAGCTCTGTGCACGTCTGCACATGACCGAGAAAGTGCTGTGAGTGGTGATGTTGAGGGTATGAATAAATTTTAGTGGAGTAGGCAGATTCACAAATACGGAATCCACAAATAGTGAGGACTGGCTCTCTATGTATGTGTGTGTGTACATACACACATATATACACGTGTGTTCGTGCATATGCCCATGCATACATACGTATTATATTTCACTGTGGAATATTACACATTGAAATAGATGTTTGTCTTCACCAGTGCTTTTCAATCAGTGAGTCATGTCTAGTTAGTGAGTTGTGAAATCAGTTTAGTGGTTTGTGATTAGCATTGTTGTACGAAGTAAAATAGAAAATCAGAGGAAATCCCATGTATTAAGAGTAAAATTGCTTCTGGAAAAATGTTTCATGTCTATATTTAATATCTCTGGGTAGGTACATGTTCCTGAGTCACTGTATAAAATTTACTTCCTACTATAAATTGCAGTCGGAAAATATGGAGAGCTGCTGCTCTGCGATATCCTGGGGTGGCTGTGAGTGGGGCTCTGGCATCACGCCACCTCACTTTGCACCCTCAACCATTGACAAGCCACGTGGCCTTCAGGAAGGCACCCGTCTGAGCCTCAGTTCACCTGTCAAGGGGGTGTAGCAATAGCACCTGCCTCGTAGTGCTCTTGGGAGAATCAGTGGAATAATGGATGAAAGTGCCAGGCACATAGACAGTGAGGGTGACAGCCGATGTTCCCCAGGTGGTGACAGGCTCCGGGCTGGACAGCCAGAAGTCGGACGAGGAGTACCGCGAGCTCTTCGACCTGGCCCTGCGGGGCCTGCAGCTTTTATCCAAGTGGAGCGCCCACGTCATGGAGGTGGTAGGTGTCCTGGACCGAGGGCCTCCCACCCACCCCCGCCCCGGACTCACCTCTGTTCACTTGGAATCTGTCTGCCTCTGCCTCTCCCAGGACTTTTTTTTTAACAGCTGTATTAAGATATGATTCACATACCATACTATTCATCCATTTAAAATGTCGATTTGTTGGTTTTTGGTATATCCACAGAGGTGTGCAAGCATAGTCAAATTTAGAACATTTTCGTCACCTCTAAGAGAAACCCCGTATGATCCTCTCCCACTCCCTATCCCCCTAGTCCTAAGCAATCTACTTCCTGTCCCTATAGGTTTCCCTATTTGGATGTTTCCTGTAAGTAAATCATGGAATATATGATCTTTCGTGTCTGGCTTCTTTCACTTCGTATGTGTTCAAGATCCATCTGTGTTGTAATACCAATCAGGGCTTCATTCCCTGTTATGGCTGAATAATATTCCACTCATGAGCACACCACATTTTGTGCATCTGTTCATCTGCTGATGGGCATTTGGGTTGTTTCCACTCTCCCCAGTACTCCTGGAAGCTGGTTCACCCCACCGACAAGTTCTGCAACAAGGACTGCCCCGGCACGGCAGAGGAGTACGAGCGAGCCACGCGCTACAACTACACCAGCGAGGAGAAGTTTGCCTTTGTCGAGGTGGGTGCTGACTCCCTGGGTCTTCTCCGCCCCCAGCGGCGGCTGCTCACTGTCGGTTGTGGTGGTTCCAGGAGTGGTTGAGCCAGACGGCAGCCTTGGTCCTCCTCGCGTGCGTGGACTGCCCTGTCCACCGTCCTCCCGCCGAATTCGTCTCTGTCAAAAGTTACTAGTCAGAAATGATTAGAAACTCATTCTGTTCTTAAAAATCTGAGGGAAAGGGGTCACTCCGTTAGAAAAATGAGCAAAAGGAAACCAACTGAAGAAGCAGAGAAAAACAAAAGGCTAAAGAGATAAGAAAAGTGTGCAAAGTGCTGAGTGCTCAAAGAACTACGAATAAAACCTAAAAGGAGAGGTGGTGTTTACCAGGCAGGATGGTAAAGATTTAGAAGGTCGGTGGTGCCTTTGGCTGGTTGAAGTGTGGGAAATAGCCCTTCTCAGATACTTTGGGTGGCCAGTCTGCATTTTACAGGCTTTCTGTGAGGGCAATCTGATCATATGTATTCTATTTTTTTTATCGTGCATTCCCTTTGACTCAGAAGTTCTGGGAATATATCCGAGGAAAATAAGCCAACTGTACCGAGATGTATGTACAGGGATATTTATCACAGTGTTGTTTATATGTTTTCACCAAAATGTGTGAAACAACTGACATGTTCTTTAATATGGCACCAGGTAAAATAAATCCCAGTACAGCTATGTCATTTGTTGATGCTCTGCAGCCTCTGAAATGGATGTAGCTGCATGGAAAGATATGCACAGTATATTGTTAAGTTAAAAAAAACAGGTTAAAGAACAGCATGTAGGGGGCTGGCCCCGTGGCTGAGTGGTTAAATTTCTGCGCACTCTGCTTCCATGGCCCAAGTTCAGAGGTTTAGATCCTGGGTGCAGACCTGCTCCACTCATCAGCCATGCTGTGGAGGCATCCCACATACAAAATAGAAATTGGCACGAATGTTATCTCAGCCAATCTTCCTCAAGCAAAAGAGGAAGATTGGCAACAGATGTTAGGGCGAATCTTCCTCACCAAAAAATAAAATGAAATAAAAAAATAAAGAACGGCATGTAAAGTGATCCCGTTTACACTGAAATTAATGTACTTTTACATATTTGCTCAAATCTGAAGAACTTAAGTATTTATTTTCATTTTTACCAACCCATTAACGGGAGTAATTTCTAGAGAGAAGACTCTTAACTTCCTGCTTTATAACCTTCTCATTTGTTTTTTTGTTTGTTCAATTTCAAAAAGATATTTCTATTTGGGGGAAAAAATTCCTTCACACTAGGTTGTGAGTGACAGCTACCTCTTTCATGACCATCTGAAGCCTAGAAGTCAGAGACCTGCATCCTACCCTGGGCCCTAAAGTCACCTCATCTCTCTCAGTCTCAGCTTCCTTATCTGTAAAATGGAGCTGATAATCTCTACCCACTTTCATCCCAGAGTTATTGTTGAGAATCAAGCAATAATTGTCAGAGATAATGATGCAGATGAGCTGTGAAAGCTGTGAAGGGTCAGACACATGTAATGGGTTAGAGATGTTCTTTAGCAGATCTCCAAGCTGCACTTTAAAGGACTGAGGCTCAGGGGTGTAATTCAGGCAGGAGACAATTTGTAATCATACTTGGCATCGCACTGCGTGGTCCAGTGACCTGGCATTTCCATTGCTGATAGTCAGCCAGGAAGACAGTATCCCCATCGTCATCACTAGGAGAGAAAATCCTTCTCAAACCTATTTAAAGTGACACTTACAGTCAGAGGGGACATGCAACTTGGTAAAAGTGTGTACACTGTTCTTTCTTTAATAAAAGGGATACATATGCACAGGAAGTAATTTAGAAAACACTCCTCCCAACCCCCTGCTACCCTCACCTTCCCACAGCCTCATAAAATCATCTGAAGACAACCACCAGTAACATTTTGCTGCATTTTATTCTAGTCCTTACTTTACTGTACTTTGAGAGGTTTTATAATTTTTATTTTGTTAGTAAAATATGCAAAAAAAATTTAAGAAAAGTAGTTCTACATGGCATTTAACAACAATAAAACAAGGCAAGAGTAGTAACCTGTGCCACCACACTCCTCCCTGAATCCCAAAATAAGAAACGTCTTTCACCTCATTAAGCTATTTCTTCTGGTTTTTATCTCGCTATTTCTAAGTGACAGGCTTAGGAGGCCGTTTCTTGGTTTTTCTATTTATGGCATTTTCTGTTGATTTCCTACTGTGGGAGATAACGATTCAGCTCTCTCATCTCCACCTCCCAGCACACCCGGTTCCCATTTCCCATCTTCCCAAAGTGGGAATTTAGTTTATTGGTTTAATTAATTTTTGCTTAAATTAATAACTACTCTATATTATTATAATCAAGAAACTGTGGTTCATCACTGAGTCACATGGTCTAATGTCAGCGCATTTCTCATACAACTTTGGTTTTTCCTAGAATTTACAATGCCTTATTTTTTGTTTATTTAGTTTTCTATGAACCTATCAAAAAGGAAACCTCAAACATAGCAACAAAATGTGAAGTTTCTTACAAAATAGTCAATCACAATCATTATTTTATGAATCCTATTATTTTTTCTTGAAGCCCTTGCTGCTGAAGCCCATTTTTCTTCTTTCCAATCCCAGCTGGTTTGTCTCTAGACCTGCTGCCGGGCCACAACTCTGAGATGTGTCCTCATCCTTGTCCTGGGGATTCCCTTTCTCTCTCTGTTGATCCCAGGGCTGCCTCTTTCTTTATGTTGGTGGAGGAAATCCTCCAAGAGCTGTCTCAGGAAGGAATTATGGGAGAGAAAGTTTTTGAGATCTTGAATGTCTGAAAATGTTTCACTTCTACCCTCACTTATAGATATAGGTATAGAATTCTAAATTATAAAGTGTTTTTTTCAGAATTTTGAAGATTTTCTTCCATTGTCTTCTAGTTTTCAGTGTTGTTGAAAAGCTAGATTCTGTTCTAATCCCTGATTCCCTGTTATTTTTTCCTCTATAGAATTTTTTTAATAATAGCATTATTAAGATATAATTCACAGACCATAAAATCCACCCTTTTGGGGCCGGCCCCATGGCCAAGTCGTTAAGTTCACCCGCTCTGCTTCGGCGGCCCAGGGTTTCGCTGGTTTGGCTCCTGGCCACGGACATGGCACTGCTCATCAGGCCACGGTGAGGTGGCATCCCACATGCCACAGCTAGAAGGACCCACAACTAAAATATACAACTATGTGCTGGGGCAATTTGAGGAGAAAAAAGCAGGGAAAAAAAAAGAAGATTGGCAACAGTTGTTACCTCAAGTGCCAATCTTTAAAAAAAAAATCCACCCTTTTGAGTATACAATTTGGTCATTTTTAATATATTCAGAGTTGTGAAACCATTACCACTGTCTAGTTTTATGACATTTTTATCACCCCCAAAAGAAACCCATACCTCCCTTTCCCCATCCCTCCGGCCTCTGGCAACCACTAGTCTACTTTCTGTCACCATAGATTTGCATATTCTGGAGATTTTATATAAATGGAATGGTATAATATGTGATCCTTTGTGACCGACTTCTTTCACTTGGCATGATGTTTTCAGAGTTCATCCATGTTGTAGCATATTTATCAGTACTCCATTCCTGTATGGTGGAATCCTCCTCCATTGTATGGCCGTATCACATTTGTTTGTATATTCATAAACTGATGAACATTTGGGTTCTTTCAGCTTTTTTGGCTGTTATGAATAATGCTGATATGTACACTCATGTACAAGTTTTTGTGTAGAAATATGTTTGCAATTCTCTTGGATATATACCTAGGAGTGGAATTTCTGGGTCATGCAGTAACTGTATGTTTAAAAATTTGAGGATCTGCCGATTTTTTTCCGAAGCAGCTGCACCATTTTACAGTTCCACCCGCAGTGTGTGAGGGTTGTGATTTCTTCACCCTCACCATCATTTGTTATTGTCTTTTTAACTTTCACCATCTTGGTGGATGTGAAGCGGTTTCTCCTTGTGGTTTTGATTTGTATGTTCCTAGTAGCTAATGATATTGAGCATCTTTTTATGTACTTATTGGCCATCTGCATATCTTCTTTGGAGAAACATCTATTCAAATTCCTTGCCCATTTTTTCACTTGGGTGGTTTGTCTGTATATCTATCTGTGTGCCAGTACCACACCATTTTGATTACTGTAGCTTTGTAGTAAGTTTTGAAATCGGGAAATGTGAGTCCTCCAACTTTATTCTTTTTCCTCTCTAGAATTTTATCATCTCATCTCTTTATCCTTGTGTTTCTGAAGTTTCACTGTGAGACATTATGATGAGGGCCTTTTGTGTCATTGTTTTAGATACTAAATAGGCCATTTCAATGTGGAATACGTGTTCTTTAGGTCTGGGAAATTTCCTTGTATTTTAATTTTGATAATTTCCTCCTCTCTATTTTCTCTTGTGTCTTTCTGGGTTTTCTGTTTGTCAGATGTTGGGCACCCAGGCTTTAGTGTCTAATTTTCTTATCTTTCCTCTCTTATCGTACGTCACTTATTTTTGTTCTGCTTTGTGAGATATTCTGTTAAATTCAACTTTAACTCTATAGTATTTATTTTGCCTATCATATTTTTAATGTCTAAAAGCTCCATCTTGTTCTCTGAATGTTCCTTTTTTATAGCACCCTGCTCTTGTATCATGAATGTGATATCTCCATGAGGATATTATAGTTTTTTGGAATCAGGTTTATTAAGGTATAATTTATCTTCAATAAACTGCATCTGTTTAAATTGTATGATTCAAAGAGTTTTGATAGTTGTATACTCTCCTGTGAAACCACAAACACCATATATGACATTTCCGTTTTCCTAAAGACTTTTTGTGCCATTTGCAGTCTATCCTTCCCTCCATCCTTTGCCCCAGACAATCACTGTTTTTGTCATCCTGGATTTGTTTGCATTTTCTAGAATTTTATGAGTTATGTTTGGCTTCTTTTACTCAGCATAATTTGAGTGTCATCCACCTTGTTTTGAATATCAATGTTTGTTCCTTTTTATTGCTGAGTATAATTCCATCATGTGGATATACTACAATTAGTTAATCCACTCAATTGTTGATGAACATTGGGCCATTTCCAGTTTTTGGCCAATATGAATAAAGTTACTTTAAATATTTGAGTATAAGTCTTGGTGTGCACATAGGTTTTTATTTCTCTTGGAATGGTCATATGGAAGGTGTATGTTTAACTTATTGAGAAACTACCAAACAGTTTTTCAAAGTGGGTGTACCATTTTATATACCCACCAATTATATTTAAGAGTTCTGCTGCTGCATACTCTCACGGTCCTTGATATTGTCAATCTTATTAGTTTTAACCATTCTAATGGGTGTTTAGTGAAATCTCATTGAGATTTCAATTTGCATTCCCTGAAGACTAATGATATTGAGCATCTTTTCGTGTGCTTATTGGCCACTCATATATCTTCCTTTGTGAAGTGTTTGTTGAAATCTTTTGCCCACTCTTTAAATTGGGTTTCTGTCTTCTTATTGAATTGTGAAAATTCTTTATATATTCTAGATACAAGTCCTTAGTCATGTGTATGTTGCAAATATTTTTTCTAATTGGTGACCTTGCCTTTTCATTTTCTTAGGGATGCCTTTTAAAGAGCAATTGTTTTTAATTTTGATAAAGTCCGACTTATGTTATTTTATGGTTTGTAGTTTTTGTGTTCTAGCTAAGAACCTGCTTAGTCCAAATTTGCGAAGGTTTTCCATTAGGTCTAACAGATCTGTACACTCTTCTGTGTTTGGATTTATTCTGAAACTTCTTTATTAATTAGTCCTTCCTTTGTCCCAATATTTCCTTTTTACATCACTAGCCAGGAGCCCAGATTCTTTTATGGCCTAAAGTTCTTTTAAAGCGTCTTTGCTGTAACTTCTCTACAATAAAGGTTTTCTTCAGCAAAACTGTTACACTGTTGGTTCCAGTGAAAATCCTCACCTCCTGAACTCTGTTCTCACCATTTCCCCTACCTCAGATGTTCTTTTTCTTCCTTTAAGGTTTAGAGGAAGAAAAAGGCTTAGCATCAAAGCTCATTCATTCATTCCTTTTCAACAAAATTTTCTTGACGGCCCACCATGGGCCCAGGCCCTGGGGATGGGGCGTGCACAGCGCAGCCAGGCCAGGACATGCACAGTGTGACCAGGGCATGCACAGTGTGGCCGGGACGTGCACAGCACAGCCAGGCCTTGCCCCTGCAATACTTACAGTCTGGTGCAGAAGGAGGAAGTGAAACATGTCACGATGGGTATGATAAGTAAGGCAGTTGTCAGGAGGCTGATTTGGCACATTTTCCTCTCTGAATTCCGAACCAATCTAGAAGTTAGCACTTGAGGCTGATGAGGGGTCAAAGGATCAAGTTTGTTGCTGGTAAAGCTAGACAGGAGAATGTGGCTTGCACCCAAGGCCACACCAGACTTTCTATTCCTCCCTTATCCCATTAGACTTTCCCACTGGGAAGCAGGCAAAACAGCTGCATAAATATGTGCCTCCCTTCCTCGGTTGGGGAGGGGCTGATTACTGCAAGAGCAGGCTGGAACCCAGAGGAGAGGGCACACACCCTGCAGGCAGGCAGATCCCAAGAGAGAGCGCCAAGGTCGGGCTGTACTCATCACAGACCCCCGTCTCCCCACCTCTGCAGACGGATAAGTGAGTTAAGGGGCCAGGGAGGAGGCAAAGAGAAGGACGGAGGCTTCCCCACAAGACTTCTACAGAAATCCTACTTTATGGACTCAAGTAGCAACTGGCCAAGTTATTTTGAAAGCAAAGATTGTAAAAATTCTTTCAAAAATGTTATGGTAAAAAAAAGCTGCATTTGATATGGTCTCTGGGTGCGTGGTAGGTGGAGAGCCCTCCAGAAGTCAGAGTGATACTCAAAACATGGTCCATGGACTGGCTGCCACTTGCCACAGTCAGCAACAAGATAGGGTGCTGGTGCCGGGATGAAAATCAGCCGCGTCCTGAGGCACTCTGTTCAGTTCAGCTGACATCGTTGCTTTGGAGGAGGGCTTTCTTGATGAAGGAAGCAGTGCATTGATTTCCATCTGGCACATGTTTCTTGCCTGAACTTAGCCATGAACCAGCCCTTTGGGGAGCGCTGGCTGGCCTTGTGCTTCTGGACGTCCCACCCAGAACCCTCCCTGCAGCGTGGTGAAGGGTACTAGACAGACAGCTGTGCCGAGGCTGTAGGTCTGACCTTGATCTGTGCCTGGCCAGGTGATCGCCATGATCAAAGGCCTGCAGGTGCTCATGGGCAGGATGGAGAGTGTCTTCAACCAGGCCATCAGGAACACCATCTACGCGGCTCTGCAGGACTTTGCCCAGGTGACCCTGCGCGAGCCCCTGAGGCAGGCAGTGCGAAAGAAAAAGAACGTCCTCATCAGGTGGGTCTTGGATGGCCTTTATCAGGGGTGCGTCAAAAATCAGGGTGCTAGGTAAAGGCCACAGAGGAAGTCCCTGGCACAGCCAGCTTTCCTGGAAGCCTCTGAACACACACAGACCCTTCCAGCAACTTCCAGCAAGTTCTAGGAGACCTTTTTAGGAGATGGGACATTTGGGATGAATTAAGCTTCAGTCTCTGGGTTTGAAGCCCCTATCCATCATCCATCAGCTATGTGAACTTAGTCAAGTTACCCTCTCTGAAGCTCAGTTCCCCTCATTTGTAAAATGTGGATGAGAATGGTAGCTACTTCATAAGCTGTTGGGATGATGAAATGGGATAATCTCTGTGTAGACCCAAGCACACAGCAGCATGGAGTAAGTATGTAACAAATATGAGCTGTTAATAAAACTTGAAATATACAGAGATCTGATTTGACTAATGAGACTCTCCTATAACCAAGAAGAAAACTAGCCAGCCTGCCTCGCTCAAGTTTCCTCCCACTTCGCGGGCTCAGAGCTGTGTTCTCAGGCAGCCACTGGGTGTCAGAATTACCCAGGGCACTTGTGAAAGGCAGGTGTCTGGACCGCACCTTAAATCTGTTAAACCAGCGTCTCTGGGGTGGGGCCCAGGAAGGAGCATGTTTCCCAAGCACCCCAGGAATTCTAAGGCACGTGGTCCTGGGACCCATGGCCTCTAGAAACAGGCTGGGAATGCTTCCTTCCTATGGTGAAACCTGGCCTGTCTCCGTTCCTCCTTCTCCAGTGTCCTGCAGGCAATTCGGAAAACCATCTGTGACTGGGAGGGGGGCCGAGAGCCCCCCAATGACCCGTGCTTGAGAGGGGAGAAGGATCCCAAAGGTGGCTTTGACATCAAGGTGCCCCGGCGTGCTGTGGGGCCCTCCAGCACACAGGTAAGTGGCTCCAGGCACAGGCCGGCTCAGTTGACTCAGCGGCCGGCCAGGCCATGGTAGGTCATCCTGGCTGGGCCGTGGGACCATAGGGATGGGGGTCCTCAGGCAGGAGGGGCAGGGTCAAGCAGCTGCTCTAGTCTTATTCTGCCATCTTATTTTTGTATTGGGGGGGTGGACTGCTGGCTTAAGATTCAGGAGACCTGGATTCTAGTCCTAGATACCTGTGTGACCTTGGGCATGTTACACAATCTCTTTGTGCCTCAGTTATCTAATCTGGCAAATGGGGGTAATATTAGGACTGGCTATCTCCTAGCCTGGCAAATTACAGGTTCCAAAGCGTAGGAAAAGTTTAAAGTGGAATCTATATGCATCTATCGTGTCCCTCTTTAATGAACCTTGGCCCCTTCCCCTGCAGTGATATCCTAGCTTGGGAATTCACAAGTCTTGCCTCTGACCTGCTGTGTGATCTTGGGCAAGTGCCTTGACCTCTCTGAGCTCTCATTATCTCTTCTCCATAAAATGAAAACTTTGGATGAGATCATGTTACTGACAAAACACCCCTTTTATTATTCTGTATAGCCCTCCAAAAGCACAAGGTTCAAAAGCCCTTGATCCCTTAGAGAAAGTGGAGAATCACAGATATTCAGAGTTGCCAACTGGAGCTTCTGAACAGCAAGAGGTTGCCTGTGGCTTATCCAAAGCAGTGATAAAATTACAGGAAAACAAAGTACAGAATCTGGGCATCTTAGTTAGACCATTGCCACCTGCTTAAGGATAAATACCTTCTGGTAGGCTTTTTGAGGTATTGGGGAAAAGTGTATCCACCTATTGCAGCTTTTAAAGGTCTTGCAGGCCTCAGAAGCTCCAGGCTGGGAGCTCTCTCTTCCCATGACCTCTAAGCCTTTCTCAGCTCTGAAATCCTGAGCCCATGAGTCTCTGAGATGAGCCATCTGAGGCCCACCCCCTGACCCCCCTCCCTGTGTGTGTGTCTGTGTCTGGGCAGGGGGCGGGCAGGAGGGACAGGGGCGAGATGGGGTCTCAGCAGCCTCATTGTAACTTCTCTTGGCTTCACAGCCCGAGGGCCAGTTGCACTAATCTGGCCTGCTGGTTGTGGGACATCCCGAGGAAGCTTCTACAAACGGTTCTGAAGACCTTCCCCGGGGGGCTGAGCAGGGCTTTCCGGTGTTTCTGTAAGTGCTGAGACCTGAGAGAGGAAGAGACAGACAAGGCAAAGAGAAGCTGGAAAGAAGGAGGATAGGGAGGGGGACGCACAGGAAGAGAGAATGACAGAGAGAGAGGAGAGGAGAGGAAGGAGCGTTTACGCAAATGAGAGGGGAGCGTGACCCCCGCTTAATCCCGGCCCCCATCACCACCGCGTGGTGTCAGGTGACACAGACCTGCCTTGAATAGACTCCTAGACGGTCAGAGCTGGAAGAGCCCTTAGAAACAAACTAGTCCCAGCCCTCCCCCTATTTTACAGATGGGGAAACTGAGGTCCAGAGAGGGGAAGTGACTTGGCCAAGCCACAAGGTGAGTCACAGGTGGAGGTGAGACAAGAACCAGGTCTCCTGACTCCCCCCCAGGCTCTGTGAGAGCCTTCGGCACACAGTAGACATGGGCATCTAGCACAGCCGGCATGTTGACTGTTCTGGTGAATTAAATGCTCTGTTCCACAAAAGTAGGTGAGAAAAGAGCTCCCCCCTTATGGACGAAACACATTTTCAAATAGGTAGAATTTGATACAAATCAGTCAACACCCGCGCGGCTTGGACTTGAAGAATCCTTTCTTTGAGGAATCCAAAGGCCATCACTAGAACAGTGCTTCTCGATTCTTAGGGACAACCAGCCACGCCCATCCATGGGGTTGCAGAGGGTGGCCTGTCGAATAAACCAGCAGCCACAGTAGGTCTTTTACCTTGAATGGAAGTGCGGTGGGAGGGGCGAGGCGCCAGTGCTTCCTGTGGCCGCACTGCCCAGCCCGGTGCCAGGTGCGTGGTGGGTAAGGTCCTAGAGGAGATCCGAGGCAGCGAGGATGGACGTGGTGGCAGAGGGAGGTTGGAGCATCTCAGAGGTGGTCGGCAAGTGGCCCCTAGCAGTCGCCGCGGCTTTCCCACCGTATACAATACCTCTCGCTTTTCTCTCTCTCTCTCTCTCTCCTCTCTCTCCCTCTTCCCTGTCTCTCCTGCCCTCCCATTCCCTCCTCCTCTCTCCTATCTATGTCTTAGGCCTGCCAGTGGTCCCCGCGGGCTTTGTTTCACCCCACTGGTGGCACACAGGGCCGAAGAGGCTGCCGATCCCTGGTATAACACCGCCTGGCTGGGTTGGTTTGGGTGCACTTCTCCAGGAGGCAGCAGGAATGGACTAGCCTGGCTCCTCAAGGCCCTTTCCAGCCCTAAGATTCAAAGACAAATGATGTGGAAAGATCTAGATTAGCACTTGCGCCCTTTGCACTTAAGGCCCTCTGTAAGCAGGAGTTAATTGTCTAGTAGGCCTCCTGTGTAAGTACCAATCTCACCCGCTTTCCGACCAGGATTTCAGCAGGTTGTGCTGTGCAGCTGGCGCCACCAGAGGGCGCCATCCCTCGGTAATGGATTCGAAATGCTGAGGGTCAGAAACTTGAGGTGGTTGGGGGGGCTCGTTCTGATCATACCCCATTTCACAGTTCCTCAGAATATTAGAGCTGAAAGGGACTTGTTTGAGAAAGCATCTTGTACAATCCTCTCATGTTAGCAGATAAGAAAACTGAGGCCCAGAGTGGGACTTTGTTGCCCAAGGTCACACAGCAAGTCAGCAGTAGTGCCTGACCTTGAAACCCCAGTGTTTTGACTCTCAGTCCAGTGCTCCACTCATGGAGCCACTGTGGCTGTCCAGTAAGATGGGGAGTGACTCCAGAGTGACGTGGAATGAGGTTTTCCTCTGATGCCCACGCCCTTGGCCGAGCAGCGCAGGCAGGAACCTGGGCCTTGAACTAGCTGATATTACCAGGTCCACCTACCCAAGGATGCTCCTGGGCCTGGGAAGAATTTCCTTCCTGGGCTGGCCAGTCTTCCTCTTGAAGGTTTACGTGTTCCAAAGTCACTTCTCCAACCCTAAACTGATGCTTCTTTAAGACAATGCTTTTTAAGAGCAGATATTTGCAGGAAAAAAAGAAAACTATAAATACAACACAAAGCAGCCCCTCCCCAGGACGGAAGTCCAGCCCCTGACCTTCCCATCTTACTTTCTTTTTCAAGCTGTACATGGTGCGGACCATGCTTGAGTCACTCATCGCAGACAAAAGTGGCTCCAAGAAGACTCTGAGGAGCAGCCTGGACGGACCCATTGTCCTCGCCATAGAGGACTTCCACAAGCAGTCATTCTTCTTCACGCACCTGCTCAACATCAGTGGTGAGCCGCCGTGTCTGGGCAGTGGGGAGAGCACGGGGGTCCCAGGGCCCATAGCAAGTAGGGCTGGCAGGCCATAAGTTGCAAAGAGATGTGATCATGGACCCAAAGGGCCACATTTTGCCACCAGGGAAAAAGTACACACTTTCCAGTGGACTCTGGGAGCTCGGAAAGGCCAGGCTCAGTCCAACTATTCTGACTTAGCAGGGAATATCTGTCTGGTAATTTGTCGTGAGGTCCTTAGTAGAGCGAGATGAGAACCAGGAATACACATGCAGACACAGCCAGCACTGGATCAGTCTTTGCTTCTAAGCAGCAGCTCTGAGCCAATCCGTGCTTGTTACTCCTAGCAAAGGAGGCTCCCAGGCTGTACCCTGACCCTGTGTCCTCCACTCCTCCTCTCCGCTGAGAGGATGCATGCCAAGGTGGGGCAGGGCAGGGTAGAGGGAGAGCAGCATCCAGGGAGTGGTATTGAAAAGAGGATCTCAGACAGTCCCAATGTCTCCGTGGAGCACAGCCTTAGAAGGGCCTCCGAGACCTCTGAGCAGTAAGGGATCCAGAATTCCACATACGGGGGTCAAGGAGCTGCAGTCCAGTTAAAAGCTGGCACCCGGGGACCTGTCTTGACACTACGTTTGTATAAAGCACACTTTTACTCTTAGATTGTGTGTTTTCAGGATGGCTTTGTTGGGGGATGGTGGAAATTGTACAGGCATCTAAAGCTCTAAAACATCACTGCCCCCTTTGCCCACACGGTGCCGCTGTCTCTGAAGCTTAACGAATGCTGTCTTCTAAACAGACGTTAAGCTGGCCTTCCAGTACCAGAGAGCAGGATTTACTGATCAAGTCGTGTTTATGGGTGCCTTCTGTGTGCCTGGCACAGCAATAAGAAGAACAATAAAAGTTAATAAAAACAATAATGAAGATCTTTTGGTGCTTCCTATGTGTAACCCAAGGCTCTTTCCATCATTCTTCCAGAAGCCCTGCAGCAGTGTTGCGACCTCTCCCAGCTCTGGTTCCGAGAATTCTTCCTGGAGTTAACCATGGGTCGGCGAATCCAGTTTCCCATTGAGATGTCCATGCCCTGGATTCTAACAGACCATATCCTGGAAACCAAAGAACCTTCCATGATGGAGTAAGAGGCAGGATTGGGCCAGCAACGAGGTTCCCAGGGTGCAGGTGGAGAGTGGTTTGCCAGCAAGCTCTGTTCGTCCCAGAATTTTCCAGATGAGGCAGTGTGCCCCACCAGGGAGAGAGCTCAGGGCCAAGATCAGGTCACACCAGACCTGACTCAGCCTTACAGACAAGTTCAGAAGTCTACCAGCCCAACTGCCCTCTTTCTATACTTTTCTGTCTCTTAATAGCTGTGCTTGGAAAATGATTATCTCTGGGGATCAGGAAGCTAGTATCCTCAATTACCACCCGATTTCTTCTAGTCCAGACTAAGTTTTCAGGCCTTGGATTTATTAGCATCATGGACTTTCGATTGCTGTGGGCAGGCTGTAAAGTAAGTCCTTCCTAATGATTAATGGAGGCTGGAAGCATCGTGGAGAGCTGAAAGGTTCTCTTTTTCCAACTCTGAACTTGTTCATCTTTCCCCCAACCCTTTCCATTTCCCGAGCAAGTATAAATCTGCCTTCTGTAAGAGAGATCATTCGTAAGCTGCTGGCCATTGTTCTTCCCTCCCCAGGTACGTCCTGTACCCTTTGGATCTGTACAACGACAGCGCCTACTATGCTCTGACCAAGTTCAAAAAGCAGTTCCTGTACGATGAGATCGAAGCCGAGGCAAGTGGAGAGCTTGTCCTTTTGTTCCCGTGACCTTGTTCCGAGAGTCTGGACTTTTCACATCTTTAGCTGTTGGCACAAAGTGGGGTTGTCTTCGTCCGTTTGGGCTGCTCTCATAAAATGTCACAGAATGAGTGGGTTATAAACAACAGAATTTTATTTCTCACAGTTCTGGAGGCTGGAAATCTGAGATCAGGGTGCCGGTATGGTCAGGTGAGAGCCCTCTTCTGGTCGCAGGCTTCTCATTGTGTCCTCACATGGCAGAAGGGGGTGAGGGAGCTCTCTGAGGCCTCAACCTTCGTGACCTAATTACCTCCCAAAGGCCCCACCTCCTTACCCTCACCTTTAGGGGGACACAAACATCCAGACCACAGCATGGGGCATCAATGACTTGTTCTGGAGAGTGATTTTTGTAAACATTGTGATCATCAAAAAGGATCTAGATTGGGATGATGGTCTTTCTTTTTCAAATATATTAAGGAATGGCAAATGATAGGACCATGTGGGTAAAATTAATTTTCTAATGGATTTTTTATGGTTCAGTTACTTGGCTAATAACAGCAAAGTAATACTGCCTATCAACTGTTACATATTTATCATTCGCCAGTCACAGTGCTAAGCACTATATAGAGACACCTTTGAAATAATGTTTATAACAATTTAAAGAAGTGTGGGCTACTATGTATTTTACAGATAATAAATTTGAGACTTAAAGTGGGCAAGTGTCATTACCCCAAGGTCATACAGCTTACAGAGTCACGTTCTACTGCTGGTAGGACTGAAGCAGCCATCCTCTCACCTATTAAGCTACTTAATAGTCACTCAACAGCTTTATTTTTGTAATGGTCAGGATAAGCTAGGTTATGGTGCAGTCACAGACAACCCAAAATTCTTAATAGCTTGAAACAAAAGATTCATTTCTCCCTTGTGGGTTGGCTGGGGTCTCTGTTCCATGTGGCCTTCGATCTGGGACCCATCTGGAACATGCAATAGTTGCCATGGCAAGGAGAAGCGTTAGGATGAATCACACTCTGGTACTTAAAGCTTCCGCCTGGAAGTGAAACATGTCACTGGTCTAAGCAAGTCACGTGGCTGTGCCTCCCTTCAAAGAGGAGCAAGGGAGTGTGGTCCTACTACGCGCAAGGACCAGAAGCACTCGTGACTACCGAAATGTCTCCATTTTGTCTTCTAGAAATTGGAATGATAGTCTCTGCTCTACTTAACTGCATGAGGTTGTATATAAACACAGAGTAAGACCCGTTAGGTAAAACTGTCATACAAAACATAAGGCATTTTTATTTATAAAGGAAAGACACGAATGTTTTGGGATAAGCATGACCACCAAATTAGGTTGAAAGTTTGTATATTTCAAAGGAAAGCTAGTGTAGATGCTGCTTTTTTCCTAAACCCTCTGATTTCTACAGGAGTTGAAAACCTTGATGGACCCCAATGCAAACCTGTCTCCTGAGTACTACGCAAACTTGGAAGCGAGATTCCAGGAGACAGGCTAATTGGTTGCATCTTTGCTCTGACAAGTCCATTTTCTGACAGGATTTTAGCTGGTCATGTTCTCCAGTAGATTGAAAACAAGAAATCTAGTGTATCATCTGTCAAAGTGAGATTTTTAAAATAAAAGAAAGCACACAGCTAGGCCCTGAGTAACATTGGGGAGCATGGAGCAAAAGTACAACTTGAGACCCCCAGCTGGTGGCCTGCCCCTTTCTCTTGCCATTCCCCAACTCCCCTCTGCACCATGAAGGGCCTGGTGTGCATGTGTGTGGAGACCCAAGCTTTGTCTACACCCCAGCCCACAAACAGCGGCCCCCAGGCCAACCTGGGGGCAAGGGCACACAGACCTGCAGTACAGTCCACCATGAGGGGTGAACCCAGGGAGAAGAACACACGAGGCCTGGAAGGACCTTCAGCCATTTGGGCAAACATTCTCAAAGCTGGTTCTAGAAGGGGAGTGTAGGGTATGAGTGGGCATCGCTACCTGGACCCTGCAGGTTCTTACCTGGAGGGGACCCCTGAAGTTTAAAGTCCAGGGCAGAGGCCTTGGTTACCTGCATGTGAGGACAGCACTGCACACAGCACTGTGGTTTTATGTTCAGAATAACAGTCTGGGGTGTAACATAAAAGATATGAAAGCTCTTTGAATAAAGACTTCACCTTATGGAGCTGCAAATGTGGTGAGAAAAGAACCAAGATTAATACCTAAATGCGAATGTTTCCTTTGGAGTTACGCCCTGCTGAGGCCACAGCCCCGTCTTTAAAGTCTGGCCCTCGCCCATTTCCTGCTCTTGCCATCGCTGCAGCGTTTGGCTTTGATTCTCTGTTTCTGATGTGAACTTTCTTCTCACCTGAACATCACAATCTGCCACCCAAATGGCAAGATGGTGGCTTGTTCCTTCAAAACCAAAGATTAAATTTCTAATGACCATCAACTTCTTCATTTGCAAAGCAAAGTAAAATGAAGTGAAAAGACCAGAAAGTCTATCAGGAGAGATGTGGGGAGGCTGATGTGAGTCATTACAGGGTACGAAGATTATCTGTTGGCTTCCCCCTGGGCAGGCACCTTGTAACAGTGAGGAGGGGACCACTGGGGAGGGTGGTTCCTGAGTAGCTTTTTGAATTTTATCTTATCTATGTCTAACTGAGGACCTCGAGAGCAAGGACTAGACTTCCCAAACTTACTTGGCCACAGAAGCTTCTTCTTTTCCTTTACGTCTTGCCCTACAACACGCTCTGGGCAATCCTGCCTTCTTCAGTTGCCTAAGTTTCTGTGATAAGCTAGACAGACATTCTTGACATTTCCTGCTTCCTCTTCTCCAGGTGAACCTGTGCTTTGATCAGTTTGTCTACAAGCTGGCGGACCAGATCTTCGCTTACTACAAAGCCATGGCCGGCAGGTATGAGAGCCCAGAGCTATGAGCCGCAAACTTTCCTAAGATCGCCACCTGGAAGACAAGGTTTTCTGTTGCAAAACCTCCCTTCTTCTTTAGCACCTAAGGAAATCTGAGCAATTCCATGGGCCTGGAGTGGGTGCTAGAATATATGAGAAAGGAAAATAAGCAGCTATGGTGCTGGACTTCATGGAGCCTGCAGCCTAGATGGGAAGAGAGACATCAATAAAAACTACTGAATGGGGGCCGGCCCCGTGGCCGAGTAGTTGGGTTTGCCCGCTCTGCTTTGGTGGCCCAGGGTTTCCCCGGTTCAAGTCTAGGTGCGGACGTGGCGCTGCTCGTCGGGCCATGCCAGGGCGGCGTCCCACGTGCTGCAGCTGGAAGGACCCACAACTAAAAAAAATACACAACTATGTACCGGGAGGATTTGGGAGAAAAAGGAAAAATAAAATCTTTAAAAAAAAAAACTATTGAATGCACAGTGACCAGGGAGGTGACATGCTCCTGAAGAAGGAAAAGTTCATGTGAATATGGGGATGTATGATAGTTAAACCTGAACCAGTCTTTGGGGTGAGGAACAGAAAAGTATCCTGAGAAAGTAGCAGTTGAGTTCATATCTGAAGTCGATAGGAGTTAAGTAAAACTAGGTGAAGGGTGGGACAGGAAACAGCAGGCAAAAGGAACTACTTGTGCAAAGTTCCTTTGGCCGAAGTATAATAACAGTAGCATGCCTACCTCGTAGGGCTGTGGAGAGGATTAACGTGAGTTAGTACATGTACACAGACACAGGAGGGGGCGGGCTGCATGGTGAAGCTGGAGAGGAGGGCAGGGCCCAGATCGTGCAGGCCTGGTCGGCACTTACCCTGGGCGGAATGGAACACCACGGAAAGATTTCAGAAGGCAGCAGGGACACAATTTGATTTTTATTTTTAAAAGTTTTTCTTTTAAAAACGTAAAAACGTGGGGAATAGATTGGAGGTGAGCAGGAGTGGTGTGTGAAGGCCAGATAGGAGGCCGGTGAGGAAGTCTGGCTAAGAAATGTGTCAAGTTTTAGATCTCGTTGGTATTGCTGATATGTATTGATTTAGACCCCTGTGAATTTCTGGGTTTTAAGAACCTTTAACAGGAAGAAAAACCTCAAAATATATATATATATAGGTGTTTCCCCTCTTATTGGAAATCCACATGTACAAACCAATAATTTCAAGGATAGTTACTTACCTTAATAAATTATTTTTCCTTCTGCAGAAAGGATTTGCATCATTTTGCTTTCAACAGCTAGAGAGGCTCTGACATAGTTCAGGCAGGAGTCAATGTGCGGAATGCACAAGTTTCTGTTATCACAGAATGTGTATTAAATGAGGTGAATGGCTCTTAATGATGGCAAGTATAGAAAGCATAGAAAGCTTAGAATTTCAGGGAAAGCTAAGAGAACACAGCCTTTCACAAAGCAGTCGCTTGATAAGTGTCTGTGGATTGAACTGGATGTGGTTATACCAGTGAGCTGGGCTTCCAGCTTCTCTAAGACAGTTCTCTTTTCAAATATGCAGATCCATTGTCTGTATAAACCTGCTGAGACTCATCAAGCCCTGGGTCCTCTCTATATTTAGTTTATAAAATATCCTTATCAGAAATGGGATCCTTCATCTTTACCCCTCCCTATAAGATCTGTGGTTTTCAAAAGTATTGGAAATTGGGGGAGGTTGAGAGAGGTTGGGAGAGTCAGAGAAAGCACAGGAGGGAAAGAATGATCTAGATCAGTGCTGTCCATTAGAAATATGATGCAACTGCAAACGTGAGCCACAAATGTAATTTTAAGATTTTTAGTAGCCATATTTAAAAAAGGAAAAATAAACAGGTGAAATTAATTTTAATATGTTTTATGTAGTCCAGTCTATCTAAAATACTGTAGTTTCAACATGTAATCAATTTAAAAATTACTAAGGAGCTAGTTTTCATTGGTTTTTTCCTAAGTCTTTGAAACCTAGTGTACATTTTATACTTATAACACATCTCAACTTGGACCCGCCATGTTTTGGGTGCTCAGTAGGCTCATGTGGCTGGTGGCTGCTATCTATACTGGACATCGTAGATTTAGATCATCACTTTCCTGCTTAAAACCTTTTAATGGCTTCCAATTACGTCTAGAAAACATCTAACATCTAATCAAGCTTATTGTGCCTGAAAGAATCTTTCCCAAGATCTTTCCATTTTTAGCATTTAGGTCTCTGTCCAACAAAACCTCTTTAGAGAGGCTTTCCTTGACGTCCTAGCCCCAAGTGATCCTCTTTTATTATTTTCAGAACACTTATTACTCTTCAATCCATGCCTCTGTATGAAAGATAATAATAGCACATCTAAGTTCTAGGGTTGTTATGAGATAAAAAAAATGACTGTGTGTGTGTGCATGTGTACGCCTGGTAAATAGCAAATACTATGCAGATGTTTACCATTGTCTGAAATCATTTTATTCCTCTGCTTAGTTGCTTAGTATCGGTCTCTCTTCACTGGCCCCAAAGCTCCATGAGGACAGAAACTTTGTATCCCCAGTACCTAGAGTGTTTCCTAGGATTGACCAAGTGTGCACTCAATTGCTTTTTTGGTAAATGAATAAAAGGGGAAAGCGGCTCAACTTCTGTGTTGCTTGTCTTTAACTTAGAAATTCTGTTTCACATACTGAGCTGCTTTGGCTGAAAAAAAAATTTGGAGAACTTTGCTCTAGAGCAGAAAAAAAATTATATTTAAAATATATAAGATAGCGCTTCATGAGTAGATCCTATGGTCTGAAATAGATGCGACTGGGTGATTGAAAACCATTCGTTGTCATGTTTACTGGCCTTATGTAAGTTTTATCCCTTTCAGTGTCCTGTTGGATAAACGTTTTAGGGCCGAATGTAAGAATTATGGAGTCATCATTCCGTACCCACCGTCCAACCGCTATGAAACGCTACTGAAGCAGAGACACGTGCAGGTACGATGACAGGAGCCCCAGTGGAGGGGGAATGGAGCTCTGAGATCAGGACTGCCTACTGTCTGCCCTGTGTATTGCCCCATGTGGACTTCTGAGCACAGGTGGAACGCAGCCTCAGAATGTTACAAAAAGTAAAAAGGCATTGGGCTTCCTTTGGTTCAAGTTCTAGGCTTCTCAGCCCATCTGCCGCTCACCTCTGGGAGTAGTGGTGGCCACCCAGGCCTTTGCCTTTGCAGCATAAGCTGCAGGCCCCTTCCTTCAGTTGGGGCTGGGTGACTCCATCTCTGAACAGCACGAATGCTGGCCTGAGTGAAGGCGGCTGTGGGGCCTTTGAAGGGAAGCATATCAGGCTAAACCCAGGGTAGAAATGACGGTTTGTGTTTGTGGAGTTGGTTTCTGTTAACATTTGACCTCAGATGTAGAGGAAATGCTGCCAGGAGCTCAGAAACACATCCTGCTTCAAAATAGGAATGTGAGCCGGCCAGACAAAACAAGAGATGCTCCCGCAGACTTTGCACTCCACTCCTAGGCTGTACCATCAGCCACACAGTGGCAAAATGGCCAGTACACTGTGGCTTCTGTGTGTTTATTGTGTGGTCCGTGGTGTTTGTGGAGAAAACTCCAGTGAAGAGGGGTAGGGCTGAGGCTGAGAAGATGCCCTGGGTGAGGAGCAAAGGATTTACCTGGAAGCCCTGGACATTCCCATTGCTATGAGAAACCCCAGGGAAATGGATACTCATAGAAGAAAAAAGAACATTGTCACCTCAGCCAACAGCGGGGGCTCAATGCCTTTCCTCCAGCATCTCAGAAGATTACAGTTATCAGTTCCCAATGCTGCCAGAATTAGTCACAGGACATTAAATACTGAGGGCTTTATGTCTGCACGTAAAGAGATGGCTAAGGAGCCCTAGTCTGTTGGTGGAAATTCTCTCCCAAAAGGGAAGTTGGAAAAAATAAAATAGTTAAGAATAATCCTTGGGCGCCTAGCCAAGTGCACTGTACACAGCAGGTACTCAATTAATATTTATTGCTATCTACATAGCATCTGCAACAGTGCCCACGTGTACCCCAGTGGGAATTATCATAAGCTATATTTTCCATCCTATAACCAGCCATGCATCCTCATGCTTTTAAACTCATCCCCATAAAGGCACACAGTAGGTCCTTGCTGAGGGGCTGCTATTCCTGGTGATGGTGAATTGGGGCACAGGACCTATGCAGGAAGAAACATCGGGGGTAAATTTAGGATGTTGGTATAGCACAGGGTACCGGAGCCCATCCTAGCCTCTTCCTGCAGTCTGAATGAATCGTACTTTTCCTCAACTTTCTGTATTTCAAACCTACAGCAAAGTTGAAGGAATAACAAGATGAACACGTGTATACTCTATAGCCAGATTCATGATTATTAATGTTCTACCACATTTGCTTCACTTTCTCTTTCTTATGTATGTGTTTTTTCTCTCTCACAAATACAGTAAATGTACTGTAAATATATATTCATAGTATATATAAATAGCTTATAAAAATATATTTACCTATAAATATAATAATATATTAAATTAATATATTATTTAATATATTAAAATATATACATACCTTTTCTCTTAGCCATTTGAGGGTAAGTTGCAGGCATCATGACACTCAGCCCTGAATCCCTCAGCGCACGTCTCTTAAGGACAAGGACATTCTCTCGGAATCAAAATAGAATTATCATATTCGGGAAATTTAACAATACTGTTTTCTACATAGAGTCCCCATTTGTCCAGTAATGTCCTTTATACTTTTAATCCAATTTCCTGTTAGTGCATTGCATGTAGTTGTCATGTGCCTGTGCGAATCTTAAGTAACTTTTCTCTCTCTCTTTCCCATCCAGCTGTTAGGTAGATCTATTGACTTGAACAGACTCATTACCCAGCGCATCTCTGCCGCCATGTATAAATCCTTGGACCAGGCCATCAGCCGCTTTGAGAGTGAGGACCTGACCTCCATCGTGGTAAGAGACTGGGGGCTGGTGGGAGTTCTGTTCTGGGATTCCTCAGACGAGAAGCCTAGTTGGGGGCCGTTGTTAGTCTAGTATTGAGCTAGTTAAAGAGAAGCAGTGAATCTCTTTCCCATCTGAATGGAGCAGGAAAAAAAAAAGACTTGAAATGTATGAGGGTAATCTTACCCTCCTGATTGGCTGGAGTGTGGGAGTGGAGGGGAATCTTGAAATCTTTAGAGATGGCCAACCCTAGGGCCCAGCTGCTTGCCCTTAGGAGTCTTCAGATCCGAGTAAGAAGGGGGATGGTACTAAGGAGCTAGGAAAGGATGCACAACGGGGTCAGCTTCATGAGTGTGCAGTAGTACAGGGCCCAGAAGGACTCTGTGCTTGGTTTAATGCTCTGCTGCCGCCATCTTGAAATTCTGAATAATTTTTAAACAATGGTCCCACATTTTCATTTTGCACTGGGACCTGCAAATTTACGTGCTTAGTCCTAATGCACAAGCATGGAACAGGCCTGCTCTCTTCTCCTTTTAAACAGCAATTTGAAGTACTGTCCACTAATTCTCTCTCTCCAAGAGTTAGAATAAGCCTGATTGATCAGTCTTTATGTGAATCAAAGGAAAATTTTAATGCTTTCAAAAGCAGATAAGTAGAAGGAATGAGAAAAATAGAAAATCTCCAGTTGTTGTGGGCAAGATCCAGCAATGGATACTAAAATTAGTGGGCAGAACTTTGAGAAGAATATTTTATGATTCCTCTTATTAATGAGGTTCCTAGAGCAGTGAAATTCATAGAGACAGAAAGTGGAATGGTGGTGGCCGGGGAATAGGGACTTGGTGTTTAATGGGTACAGAGTTTGAGTTGAGGAAGATTAAGTTCTGGAGCTGGATGGTGGTGATGGTTGCACAACAATGTAAAGATGATTAATGGCACAGAACCATACATTTAAAAATGGTTAAAATGGTAAAATTTGTTATTTATATTTTACCACAATAAAAAAATTACTCAAAAATGAAAAGAACTTTGAGAAGAAACAGGATACGTGCATAATCTCAAAGTGTCTCCTTCAAGATATTTATTAACTCCAAAGGGAAGAATAATAACTTTACAATGGAGAAACTGCCGGACACCATCTTAACCAAGCCTCAAAGGTTGATATCACCAGTAATAAGATTTATTCACACATCCCCTGGTATGTATTCTTCTGTAGTATTCTTGCCAAAAGATATCATCTCAATCTAAGCAGGAGAAAGTACCAGATAACCCCAAATTGAATGGGCATTCAAAAAAAAAAGTGAATGGTACTTTTAAAAGCATCCAGATCATAGAAGACGAAGGCAGACTGGAAACGGTTAGAGATTGGAAAAGACTGAGGCAACATGACGACTAATCGCAACATGGGATTCTGGATTGAGTCCTAGAACAGAAAAATGGACCTTCATGGAAAAACTGGGGACCTCTGAACACGGTCTATCATTTAGTTGATAGAATTGTACCAGTGTTAATTTCCCACTTTTGATAATTATACAATGGTTATGTAACGTGTTACCATTGGAGAAACCAGGTCAAGGATATGCAGGAACTCTGCTGTTTTCACAACTTTTTTTCTGTACGTTTCAAATTACTTCAAAATAATTTTTTTTTTTTTTGTACAAAGTGGTTTAAAAAAAAAAAAAAATGGCGGACTAAGAACTAGGCCTCTAGAGTCAGAAAGACCTGGGGTCCCAGTCCTGGCCCTGCCGCTGACTAGCTAGGCGATCTTGGGCAAGTTACTTATCATCTACAAACCTGTGTCCCCATCTACACAATGGAGGAACTATTAGAATCCACCTCATGGCATTGTTATAAGGATGAAAGGAGAGACTGCCTCGAAAGAGCTTTGCATAGTTCCTTGCACTTAGTAGCTTATGAAAAAAAAGGTGAGAGGAACATAGAAATCTTGGGCTGCAATGAAACGTTCTCGGGAAATTTTCAGCGTTTTGTAAGAGGACTTGACCCACTGCCCACCTCAGTCCTAGGTCACTTCCTTTGAGAGACTATAACATAGCACACATTCTGGGAGACCTATTTTAAGAAATAGATTTTTCTTTGTTTATGCCAAAATGTTAGCAGTGATTATCTCCAAGTGGTGGGATTTTTGTTTTCATCTGTATCTTCTGGTCTTCCAGTAATAAATGAATATCTCTTATGGAAACACTGGTTTGGGGTGTGTCTGTGTGTCCGTGGCCTGTTCCCACCCCTTGAAAGGCACTGAATGTTCTTCTGGCTGGGAACAAAATCAAAACAAGCACAAAAGCGCATGTTTATCAGGTGAGGGCAACAGACCCTGGGAGAGTAGCCGCTTCCCCTGAAGCCCATGAAGAGGGGCCCCCAGGGACACGCTCTCTGGTGGGGTCAGGAGGCCCCCCTCTTCTGAGAAACAAACCGCAGAATGTGCTCCCCTCAGCCCTTCCCTCCACCTTAGAAACTCTTATCTGAGATGGGGAGGCGGCTTGAGGCCAAGCTGAAGGGTTACAGACATTTCTTCCATCAGTCGCCCTCATCCTGCACAGCTGAGCAGATAGTCTCCAGGAGAGCTGATGCTGACAACAGCCGGCAGCCTGCAGGCTGTGTTTTGTTTAGGCTGCAGAGCATATTTGAAACTTTGAGCCAACATTTAACATTTGGAAGGATTCGAATAAAACTGCAGACCAGCCTTCCCAGATGGCAACAATTGCCTAGAAATGACTAGTCGTTTCTGTCAGCTGGGCTGTGCTGTCTTCGGTTTGCTGCAAGCCCCACTGGTGCACTTCATTCATATGTATGACCTACCAGCCCTTGCTGTGCCTGAGTTTGAGACTCAGCCTGCTCTCCTCACCTGCCTGGGGTCTCAGAGCAGATTAACAATCTGACAATCCGGTTCCTGGTTCCCATTGCATAGCTCTTTCCACTACTTAACAGAAGTTTGCCCATGGGGGTGTTTTGTTTCCCCAGTTCTGCTTCTTTGTTGCCCCTCAGTAAACTGGCTTCACTATCGAAAGCTGATATCCTCTCAGAAGGCACCTGAACACTCCCGAGGCCGTTTAAACCTTCTGTGCCCTGCATCACTGAGCCCTGCGGCCAGTAGGCAAGGGCCCTCTCCTGATTTACAGGCCAGAAGAACATGCTGATGCAAAGGCACAGTTTGGATTAACATAACAAAAACCCCTGTGCTGTTGCAAGGTGCAAGACGTGGACCTTCCTTTCCAGCAGCCCTGCATCTGCAGAGCTGAGGACTCTCCTTCATCTTCCTTGTGAACACTGGCACGCGTTTGTGAGACTGTTAAAATCGCTGAGTATTAGAACAGAAACCATCCCTCGGTTTCTCATCTACACTCATCTTCCTGGTAACAGGGTACCTCAGTGTGCCATTCCAGAATTGAAATCCAGATTTTGACCTTCTTTTGGAAGATTGCAGGATCTGCCATCACTAAGCCCCATTTCGAGTGGCAACCCTCAGATGCAGTCAAGTACCAGCTCTGCCTTGGTCTGGGCAGGGGCTCTCCAGTTTGCCACAGACAGCCCAGCCCCAGGTCTCACGCCTGCCCCAGCTTATCTCTGTACCTGACCTTTCTGGCCCCTGCAGCTATTTAAGTGTGCAACCTTTGATCTAATTCTCTATCTCCAGTTTAGAGCCATAGAATCTGAGTTTCAGAGAGGCAAAGCTCCAAGATTAGAAGAATGGTCTGGGGCCTTCTCCTGACCACACACTGGACCCCAGCCAGGGTTAGGGGGGCCTTGGGGCTGATGAGAATAAAGTTGAATCCCTGGTGTGGGGCTGCTTCCTGTGACTGTAGACAGCTGAGCTCCATACCCCAGCTGTTAAAGCTGGCCCTCTGGCCATCTCATGTCCTGGCCGTGCTCTGGGAAACTGCCCTTTCTGTGTCACAGGGGCCAAACGTGATTTGGAATCAGAAGACCGGGGCTCGCATCCTAAGCCCTATTCTATATTCACTATGTGACCTTGGGCAAGTTACTTAACCTGCCAAGCCTCAGTTTTTCTCTCTATGAAACAGGGGCATCTCAAAAGACAGCTTAACCAAAACCATGTAGGAGTGTCCTAGAGTGTCACGTAGAGGTATGTCTTCTCTGCACAAGACTGTCCTTTGATTCTTTTTGATAGCAGTGCAACAAGATTCTAAAGCAAGCCCAAAGGGTTTCACTCTCCTTTTCCTTCCCACCCAATGCAGTGACCTGCTGTGTCCGGGTATAACCACCCAGCTCCCGTTCTTTGCATGAAGATGGGATTCCAAATGCTCAGGGCCCACAGCTCACACAGGGCCATGGTCCACGGCTTCCAGCCGCACCTTTGCCAACACGTGTGACCAACCCACTGTGACTGAGGGACACAGGAGGATTCCAAAGGAGGGGGTGTACTGCTTCCAGCTCTTTTTTAAGTTTCTATAGTATACAGTGGTGAAAAATGTGGATTGTGGAGCCCGACTTCCTGGATTTGAAGCCAAGTTACTTAACTTCTCAAAGCCTCGGTTTCTGTATGCATAAAGACAGTCGTAATACTGACTTCATAGGGATTTTCTTGAGCATTAAATGAGTTAATCCATATAAAGTGCTTAGAATACTCCTTCGTACATATTAGATTGAACCATATGAAATTACTAATATTCTATAGTGTTTGACCTAAAAAAACAGCAGTTTCATGTGGTCTGACCTAATAGCAAGTACTTAGTAGTTGGTAGCTCTTAAGGTTACATCTGCAGGGCGGAGATAGGGCCTCTGGTGACAGCCAGTCACAGCTCTCTTTTACTTTACAGGAGACACTGAGGGACCAGCTGTTTCCTCAGCAATATGGAATCTGGAAAGCAAGTAGGCGTGCTTTCTACCCAAAGGGGGATAGACAGGGGATTCGCACATGGTCTCTGGTCCCCTTCCCGGGACAGGCTTGCAGCCTCCCTCAGCATAGGCTGGCAGTTCCTTCCACTCCTCAAAAGAAGGGAGTGTTGTCACATGCCACCACAAGGGTCCTAGTCCTCGTGTCAGCAGTCAGGAGGTTGTCTGAGGGGCTCTTGCCTGCATGAGAGGAATCTGTAAGACAAAGTGATGCATGAGTGCAAGGTCTGTGTGAACATCCTCAGTAGCCACGGGTTCTCTCTCCGGGCAGGAGCTGGAGTGGTTGCTGGAGATCAACCGGCTCACACACCGGCTGCTGTGTAAGCACATGACCCTGGACAGCTTCGATGCCATGTTCCGGGAGGCCAATCACAACGTGTCTGCCCCCTACGGACGCATCACCCTGCACGTCTTCTGGGAGCTGAACTTCGACTTCCTCCCTAACTACTGCTACAATGGGTCCACCAACCGGTAAGGAAATCCCTGTGCAAAGGGGGCTGGGGCGAAGTGGGATGGGGTGGGGCGAGGGAGCAGCCAGCTGCCCCCTCCACACTAGGCCCAGTGCAGGTTGTCAGTTTACTCCTGCAAGAGGCACCTTGTGGAGCCCCTCCTGGGCACAGGCTCTGTGTTGGAAGCAAGGATGCCACAGTGAACAAGCAGACTCCTTCCTGGTTCTCGGAGCCTTCAGGCTAGAGGAGGGTGCAGGTGATCAAACAATTGTATGATAAATGTACTGCTATAAACAGCCAACCTGGAGATGGAGGAGAGCCCACAACCTGAGAGAGAGAACGGCACCACTTGATCCCGTCCAGGAAGTGATGCAAACCTCAAAGGAAGCTTCCTCCTCTGAGGATATAATGGTAGAGTTGGGATGCGAAGGAAGAATAGGCATAAATAAGGCAAAAGGCAGGAGAAGAATCTTCCAGCCAAAGTTTCTAAGGAACTGAGAGGCTGGTGAGGGTGGAGCTGGGATGGGGAACGGTGCCATGAAAGATAAGGCCGGACACAGGAGGAAGCAGGAACTAGACCATGCATGAGTCCATAGGCCACATAGGATGGAGCGTTTATGAACTTTGGCAGAGTTTGAGGAGGAGGAGCGACATGATCAGATGGTACTTTTATGAGGAGGTCCACATATGTGAACGCATGTGTGCAAAACAGGCATACATTTGCAGAGCACACACATGCGTGGCAAAATGGAATGTGTCTCCTGCAAGGGGCACATGGCGCCAGGCCAGCCACCAAGATAGAGACCACACCTAATCTCTTATCCCCAAAGAGGTTCAAAACCTGATGGAAGGGGTGAGACATATTCACGTACAAAACAAGTACATAAGGATGTGCAAAAATGTATATTTACACATCTTCTCAGGATCCTCAGGGCCTGGCTCCTGGCCACTATGCATCGAATGAATGGAAGGGTCTGGGAGGAATCTACAAATGTGCATAAATCCACACACTCAGCAAGACAGACTTCTCCTTCTCTTAAGATTTGGGACTTTTAATCCTCTCAAGCAGAATTCTGCAAACTACAGCCCACGCACCACATCTAGTTGGCAAATGTTTTTGTACAGCCCATGAGCTAAGAATGGTATTGACGTTTTAAATAGGGGAGAATCCAAAGAATTATAATTGGGTGACAAGCAGAAATTGTTTGAAATTCATAAAGTTTTATTGGAACTCAGCCATGCTCATTCATTTACTCCCGTTTATGGGTGCTTTCACACTACCAGCAGAGCTGAGTAATTGTAACAGAGACCATCTGGCTTGCAAAGCTGAAAATATTTGCTATCTGGGCCTATACGGAAAGAGTTTGCAGAACCCTGCTTTTGAGAAACCACCCTGGGGGTGGAGGGACGGAGCTCTGGAGAAGGCCGTTTTCAGGCCCAGCCCATTCTCGCTTTCTTGCCTGCTGTCCTTCTGAGCAGCCGCAAGCCCAGCATCGAGCCTGTGAATCTGGACTACAGGTTTCCCATCTATGGAAGGGAAACAGTAGTTGAACAGGAGGATGTCAGAGGACTTTATTACCTTTATAGGCAACCACCTAAGAAATAGTGAGGTCACACCTGGTCAAGAAGGGCTCCCACTATATCATGTCCTGTGAAGAATAATGTTAGGACCTGGTTAACTCCCCTCCCATCTCTTTTCTTCTACTAGTTTTGTCCGAACTGCCATTCCTTTTACCCAAGAGCCACAAAGAGATAAACCTGCCAACGTCCAGCCTTATTACCTCTATGGGTCCAAGGTGAGTAGTCTTGCCCGGTCCTACTTCTAAGAGGGCTAGTGAGCAAAAGCAAATAGCAGAGTTGTTCGTGAGTCAGAAAAGCAGGAAGGTGTGGGGATAAAGAGGCAGTAGTGAGACCCAGGCGGAAATGACTGCGAGGATATTCATCTTTATTTGTTCACAATTGGCAAGGATGCGGGTTAACACAGACCTGGTGGGGCTGGATGCTGGGCAGGGCTGTCTGGGGAGGACTTCACTGAGGTGAGCAGGGAAATGGGTGTGTGGGGCTTCTCGTCTTGGTGTCCCATCTCCTCCTGTTTCTCAGCTGATTGATTGCAGTATTGTCCTGTGATTCTGGGATGTTGTGCTCCATAAATATAAGGGATTTGCAGACAGGAAGTGGTTGAGGAGGTGGAGCTTTGAAGGAAATCCCAGATGGCTGGAGCTAGAGCAAAGAGACAGGTCTTCTCCCATCTCTTTGCTGCTTTGCTGATATGTACACATCTTAACACAAACTAAACCTCTCAAATGGTGCCTTCTTCTATCCTTTGCCATTCCCAGGCATTAAGCACCTACTCTAGTCCTCTACATGCTGGGGATATATCAGAGACTAAAACAGACATCATCCCTGCCCTCCTCAAGTTCCATTTCCACATCCATGGTAGGGACAGGGGAGCAAGGTTCACAAAGTCTCACCAACACGATGACATATGTAGGAGATTCATTTTCTACCCTGGGGGTTGGTACAGGCCGACTAAAGAATGCCACTGTTGTCAACAACAACAAAAAAAGCCAACATTTTTCTTTGTGATGGAATAAAAATGGCCACCTTTTACCCCATTTGCGAAAAGTAAGCACAGAGGGACTTAGAAGAGGAGCTGGCCGGATAAATATAACGTTGGTAGACAAAGTACTCGTCTAGGTCGAGGAGCCCTAGATTTGGAAGTGTGATGAAGCAAGACAAGTTCCCACCGCTTGGCCTAAGGTAGAGCTCAGAGGGTCTTGGACTGATGCTGGGAGAGTGTGGGTATCTTCTTCAGAACAACCAATCTGGTCAAAGCAGCTTTCTCAAATCAAGGGACTCTTACAGATAGCATTTTAGATCGTTCATGGACTTTCTCACAGGAGAAAGACTTAAGCTGGTGCTATTGTTTCCTTACTACCTTTCCAATGTTTGCTAATCTAATCTCCCTTTTAATCGAAGATAAAAGAGCAGGCCTTAAGCTCAGTCTTTAGTAGGCAATAGCATCTGTCAAATTTAATATTATGTTTTCATTATATTTATTCTTATGTCTCTTCCCTTCTATTTATAGCAGTGGGCTGCTAGTTTTTCACTTTTAGAGTAATACAGGGCTATCTCTTAAAATAAAGTTTGAAGTTTTAAAAATAAGTGAATTTAAAGAACTATTGTTCGTAATAGTAAAGGTAGTCTATGGTTTAAAAAAAAATGAAGGTGGGGTACAAGGTGGTACGTGATGGCCTGAAAGTTGGAAAACACTCACGAACAAGTCTCCTCACAGCTTTCTAGAATAACTCCCCCCAGTATGACTGAAAGCATAACTCAAAGAGCCCGTTCTTCAACTCAAAAATTTCCTTGAAGTATGGTGTTTTATTTAAGCCATGCACATCTCACTTTCTACATCATGATATATTCATGTTTGTTTTAGTATTAAGATAATGTTTTTAATTCCTAACTGGCTCCCCCTAAAATGGACTTGCCTAAGAGGTGCCACATTACTCCCTCAGCACATGGGGGTGTATGTTTTCCAGCTTGAGAAGCTTTGTGATAGAGCAGTCATCCAACCCAGGTGATTCACTGGAACACTGACGTTGAGGGAAGACGAATGAGTAGTCTGTAGCCAGAAGACCTACTGCTTAGGGGGGCAGTGGCGGGAGGGATGCGACTTTAGGCTGTATGATGCAGGCTGCCTCCTCTCTACTTCTTACTCCCCAAAATGAGGCAGTAGGGCGGGTTGGTCACCACCCTCTCTCTGTAAGGCACCCACATCCGGGGCTTCCTGGTCAGCTTCGGCTTCCGGTTCTGCTCCAGCTCTGGAGTTCTTGCGTGGCATTTCCACCAGGGGGAGCCCCTGCAGGTCTTCCTCCCTCTGACCGAGAGCTGGGGCCTCTTCTGGCCATCTCACCAACCCATTGGCTTCCTCCATGTGACCAGCTCTGTAAGACCATCGAGGCTCATGGCAACGGATGCACCAGAACTGGAGGCAGATGAAGGCTAAGACGGCTGTGAAGCAGGCCAGCAGAATGGCCATCAAGACCCAAAGGGAGATTTGGGGGTCCACCAGGGAGCTTCCAGCAGCCAGTGGACTCTTATCCAGGGTGTGGAACATGGTGCAGTAGTGCCTGTAGGGGAATGCAGCCTTCTTACAGCTGATGCACAGGAAGTAGAGAGTGGAAGGGGCGAGGTGTTCCAGCACCACGGAGCTGATAGATCGAGGCACCTTCTCCTCGTGGTGGAAGCTGTAGCGAAGATAGCCAGAGAAGATGCTGTTCCAATTGGGCCTATACATAATATGGTAATAGTCCTCCAGGCAGGGCTCCGAGGACGACCAGGAAATGATGGCTCCCGTATAAGAAACGTTCCCAACCTCGATGTTCATCCTGATTCTGAAATCAGAATCAAAGTGAAGAGTAACTTATCCCCTTATTTAAGTACTTATTTATGATAATCATCGCTGCCATTTATTGAGCATTCAAGATGAGCACTGATATTACCTCATTTTACAAAGAAATGGGAGTCAAGAGGTGACATTACTTAGCTAGGCATAGCTAAGAAATGGCAGAACAAAAGTTCAAATCAGGGTTGTCTCATACCAAAGCTGGAGACCTTCAGGCTGAAAAAGATGCACCCACATCCCCTAGCCTCATGCTGCCCTGACTCAGATCCTTTAAATACAACATTGTTCCCAGCCCTGGAAAAAGAGAAGAAGAAAGGCAATAAAAGGAGAAATCAGTACAAACTCAGAGTCCCCATGTTAGTTACCACAGGTCTGTGACCTCCAAGTCAGGCAATTGTTTCACCTAAAATTTCCTTTCTGGACCTCTGGCTTCTCCAAGTGCTGTGAGGTCAGTCATCTAGAACATTCTGCCCACTGCTTTTTTAGCCTCCCAGTTCTGTTGCTCATGGCAGGAGGAAATTTGCTTTGTCACTCATTGGTAACTGATTTCTCCCCAAAGCCTCTGCTCACAGTTTGTTTGTTCAAAACCAGAGGAACCCAGGAAATTAGTTTCCTAGGTCAAGATAATCAGCTCCCGATACAAGCATAACTGCTATTTAGTACTACTGTACTATGAGCGTTAATAATGCTGATAACCTCCAACAGTTAGCTAGTGGTTGCTGCGTAACAGGTCATGCTAGTTGCTTGGCATACAATAATAAATTTCATTTATTTTTCATTGCACCCTCCGAGCTAGATCCCCCTTTTACAGATGAGCAATCTGAGGTCACTCAGTTAATAAGTACAAGACTCAAAGCTACTTTACCGCCAGATTTCCACATGCAGGGCTGCTGGGTTTAGCAATACAATGTTATCGCAAAACGAGGTGCTGGTGCTAAGACCCACTTGCTGTTTTTCCAGACAAATCAAATGAGCCCTCTTCAGATGGCCAGCCCTCTCGCTTTGGTAAGAGAGCACCATCTTTAAGCTTCTTAGTTTCTCTTTAATTCCCTTTGAGAGATACAGTTCCCCTCCACTGAATTTCCCCTGAGCTAAAATTCAGGCACAGCCGTATTCAACCTGTGTCTGCTCACGTACAGGTCTCACGCAGCTCTGTTCTCTGCCCCTCCTCTCTCACACGAAATACAGGTTTTATTGTAGATTGTGGTGACATAGTAAAAAAACAGTCGATCCGACTTTAACCTGAATTGGATATTACGCCAAACTGATTTCTGTTATGAGCTGTTCTCTCTCCTTCCTGCCTCCCTCCAACCTTCTGTTTTCGTGCGCGTATTCCTAGAGTAGTGGAGCTGCAGAAAGACGCACAGCACTGAGTGATTTTCCGATCCTTGTTTTTCTTCTCTAAGGATGACAGTGAACTGAGATGCTCAGGAATGGGAATAGTTCCTTTCTGTTTGGCTGGAAATTTCTTCCCTGAGAAATAGGTAATGAAAGGGACGAGACAGATGTGCTCAGATCCCTCCAGGCAAGGTCATTGCAAAGGAGACAGAGTATTTGTGCCCCTTCTCATACACTCCCTCCGCTCCACCCCAGCACCCCACACATCCCTATAAATATGCTTCCGACTACAATGAAAAAAGATCTTAATTCATTTACTTATGATACAGAAGCAACGGCCTTTGTAAACCCCTTCCATCCGGAGTGATCAGGAATCCCATTTCTTGTCATGAATCAGTTCTCCTATTTGCCTCGTATCTGCCACTGTCTTTGCACACTGAGTTCCCTACAGCAGACATTTTTAAGAGCTTTCTGTGAAGATGCTAGCAGCATCCTCAGCTTTTAGGACCAAGTCAGTTTCCCTTATTTTTCTTCCTCTGCTTCTGTTTCTAAATTTCCCCAGTTTTTAGCTATTCATATTACCATTGCCTGGCCCTCCTCCAAGCAGAGTGTGAAAGGAAAAGCCATTTCCATTTCCAAGAAGAGCCATTTGTGTCCCTTACCTGATGCTTGTAGTGGATCTGGTTAATGATGGATCTGGATAGAGCGCAGCTCTCAGAGGCAGAGTGGACCAAAGCTGTCAGAATGGTGCCTTCTCCCCTCCTGTGCTCTGGGCTCTCCTTGGTGTCTCTCTCGCCACTGTCTGAGTAATCCCACTGTCGCCCCCAACGCTCACATTATTCATTTCTTCAGATCAGCATCATTCACCATGGCAACCAGCATGCATCTGTACGCACGATGCTGTCAGGGACCAGTCTGGAAAGGCTTTTGCCCAGTGAGAGGAGCTCTCATCCCTTTGGCTGAAAAAAGGCAAACAGTCTCCTGCAAACTCATCCTCAGAATAGTGCTAATTCTTCCAAGGCTCCTAAATTTTCTCTCTAATTGGCTAGTTATCTTTTTCTTTTTGCCCCCTCTAGACCCTCTTTGGACAATGGTTTCAAATGCAAAGATGCCCTTCTCAGTTATCCCACAACTAAAACAGTAATATCATCCTCATCCCCTCCTACCCGCTCCCCCCCCAAATTCTGCCTTGCCTCCTACCCACCCTTAGGTCCTCTTTTTTCTTTATTCTTGTCTCCCGTGGCACTAGTCAAGACTCTTTATTTTCTGAACCTCAATTCCATCATCTCTAAATCTGTGGGTTTGGGCGAGATCAGGATGGCAGATAGAAAATTTGAATACTACTTCTGCCTAGTCCTGAACCCGTGTCAGGCTTGCTAAACTATCATGGCACTTGTGCCATGGGGGTTTGAGTGTCCCCCCAAAATTCAGGTCCACCCAGAACCTCAGAATGTGACCTTATTTGGAAATAGACTCTTTTTGGATTTAATTAGTTAAGGATCTCGAAATGATATCATCCTGGATTTAGGAGAAGCCCTAAATCCAGTGACTGGTGTCCTTATAAGAGGAAGGAGAGGGAGATTTGCACACAGAGGGATACAAAGGGAAGAAGCCATGTGAAGACAAAGAAAGAGACTAGAGTGCTGCTGCCATAAGCCAAGGAATGCCAGGAGCCACCAGGAGCTGGAGGATGCAAGGAAGGATGCTCCCCTAGAGCCTGCAGAGGGAGTGTGGCCTTGCTAGCACCTTGATTTCAGGCTTCTGGGCTCCACAACTGTGAGATAAATGTCTCTTGTTTTAAGTCACCACATTTGTGGTAACTTGTTCTGCAGCCCTAGGAAACTAATACAGCAGTCCTTCCAGCTGGGCTCAGAAACACAGCCTCAGAGTCCTTCTCAACACAGGCATCCCAAGAAGCTGCTTAACCACTCAATCAGTTGGAGTTGACACCAGAAATGGAAACTGTTTACTGTTCCTGGGTTGGATGATCCCCAAAGTTCCTTTTCTTTCAAGAATCCTGACTTTGCTTCCTCGCCTGTTTCCATTTCCCATAAAGGTTTATCTCCCTCTGAAATTCCACCCCTTCCTGTTCCCCTCAGCCTTAAAATAACATGTTGCCACCGTTCCGTTGGGGAGACTCCAGAGCGTGTCTGAAATAGAGAATAAAGTTCAGCCACCAAGTTTGTGGTCATTTGTTACGGCGCCCCTCGGTCGGATCGATTTAGACCTGAATTATTTTACACAAATGATGTGTTTTAAAAAGTCAGCCTTTTTCTTCTTGGTTCTTGGTCAGAGTATCCACGTGAACCTAGGAAAATCTCCCTGTGATAATCAGAAAGTTATGGGGCGTTGCCTGGTGAGCCAGAGACCCTCCCCGGGCCAGGGCTCTCTGTGCGCCTTGGAGTCTCGGGATGTCCGTCGTCCTCGATTAGACACTTGTTCCGTGGCTTTCCTGCGGCGTTTGGCCTTTCCAGGGGCCTGTCTGTGATCTGCTGGAATACGTGCTGATGATGACTGCCTGCAGAGCGTAAAAGCGTCCTCCCCACAGAAAGGCCAGGGCAGCAGTTTACAGGTGCCTTTTGAAAAGGTTATTTTGAGGGGAATAAAAATACCAGAGTTAGGGGCCTGTGGAGTGACGAGACAGAACTGAAGCCTTTGCCACCGAAAGTGGGAATTTATTTTTAATCCTCCTGGATGCCATTTTGACACTGAGCTTTTTATTTGAGAAGTCGAGACGCTCAGAGAACACGAGGCCTAGAACTTCTCTTGTCTCACAGATTCCAGGAGAAGAGATGGCGTTCCTCAGGCTGCGCACCTGATTAGTGGCAGAGTCAGGAGTGGAAACCGAGTCCCTGACTCCGAGTCCAGGGCTTGTCCTGCTCCTCTGGGCTGTCACCATTCACCAGCAGCACCCAGAGGAGCCAGTGCAGCCCTTGGTGAATGAGACTGATCCCCTGGGGACACTTGCTCAGGAGATGGCACCCCAGCCCAGCCCACTCTTTGTCCTCAATCAGGAAGGACCCTTCTGTGGGATCCAAGTTGTAGCCTCTTCAGCTGTCTGGCCAGGAGGTGCCTGGTTGGTTTACACCAGTGATAAATTACTGCCAGAGGACATCAGCCAAGAGCGGGGTCCCTGAGTCCTTCCTGCAGGTGGCAGTGAAGGAATGATGTCAGGGCACCCAGAGGAAGGTAGTGGTTCAGAGTGCAGGTCCTGATACCCCCAGACTGGGTTCACATCCTGCCTGTGTGGCCTTGGACAAATTCCCTGACTCTTCTGTGCCTTGATTAACTCTTCTGTAAAATGGGAATATCAATAATACCTGCCTTACAGCGTTGTTGCAGCAGAGAGATGAGCCCATCTCTGTGCAGTGCTGGGCTTAGGAGAAGCAGCTGTTATTACTAAGAACAGAAGGTCAGTGGCTCAGAGCCGTTTCCTGAGTTGGTTGTAGCTTCATCCAGAGGCTGTAATGGGCAAGGTTGGCACCCTGGATGGTACTTGCTTCCCTTTATTTTTATTCTTAAAACAGCTTTGTTTTTTAAAAAAACATATATGCTTATTGTACATAAATTAAGGAATATAGAAAAGTTCAAAGATGACAGTAAAACTTGTACAGCTCAGAAATAACCACTAAGAACTTTTTGGTGCATTTTACATATGTTTTCTCGTTTTACCCATGGGGAACTCTTTGAGGTAGGCCCTCTTATCACCATTGTACAAAGGGAGAAACCGAGGCTCAGAGGGGTTCATTAACTTGACCGTGAGCACAGAGCGAGGTTGTGGCAGAGCAGGGCTCCAAGCCGAGGTCTGTTGGTCCAGAGCCCGAGCTTCCAGCTGGCCTCTCGGATGCGCTGCTGCTCTGCTCGTGCCGTTCTGCAGTCAACAATGGTCAACGAGAGCTCTTTGCCTTATGTTACCTTCTCCGGAGAGGTAGAGACAGGACTTTGCTGTTTAGTGGATTCTAGAATGATGGGAACAGGCAAGGAACTTAAATACCTCAGAGAGAGCATCGAGCCACCTGAATGTAGCCGACAGAGAAAACATCAAATACATTTGGAAAAATATGGCCAGCAAGTGTTTCCTCCTCTGGAGTCTGGAGTCCAAGTACCCCTGCCTAAGAGCTCTGTCACTCAGGGTTAGGGGTGACATTGAATCTAAAAAACCTTTAGCAACTGCTTCAGGATTCAAAATTTGCATATGAGTCAAAACTTTAAAAATATTCTCTAAATAAATTATATAGAGTCTATCATAAAACTGCCTTCCGAGTGATAGAGATTGTGGCACAAATCATCCCTTAAATTATGCTAATAATTTCCCATTAATGTTTCGGTCTTTGGAAATTGTTGGTGTGATCTTGTGTTTGGTGTGGTCGTCACTTGCTAAGTGATGCCCCTGTGAGTCAGGATTTGACCTTAGAAATTTATCCTACTCTGGCAGTGCCTTCCCCATTAGGTCATGGTCCATGGGACCGAGGACCCAGTGCTTTGCTGCAGCAAGCTGGGTACGTCACAGCTGGGGCCATTCCTGGGTGCCAGCACTTCCCACGTAGCCTGACCAAGGGAGTCTGTCTCAGCACTAGCAGTGCCACCCCCCCCCCATGTCTGCGTGGTCCCACTCCCAGGCTACCCAACGTTACTTACCCACCAGTCTAGAAGAATTTCGGTCATTTGGCAGTGGGTACATAAGGCAGACTATCATCTTGTATTTCAGGCAAGTCTCTCACTTCATTTGGGCTTTCGATTCCTCCTCTGCTAAATGGGGATCATTGTGCCTGCCTTCCCTGGTCTAGTAGGCTGATAACGGCCCCCAAGACAGCAGGTCCTAATCCTGGAACCTGCAAATATTACCTTATTTGGAAAAAGGGCTTTGCAAATGTGATTAGGTAAAGGATCTTGAGATGGGCAGATTATCCTGGATTATCAGGATGGGTCCTAAATGCCATCACAAGTGTCCTGATGAGAGGGAGGCAGAGGGAGGTGACATGCATACAGAGGAGAAGGCCAGATCTCAGCAGAGAGATCTGAAGATTGGAGTGATGCAGCCACAAGTCCAGGAATGCTGGCAGCCACCAGGAGCTGGAAGAGGCAAGGGATGGGTTGTCCCCTAGAGCATCTGGAGGGAGTGTGGCCCTGCTGATGCTTTAATTTTGGCCCAGTGATACTGACTTTGGATTATGGCTTCCAGAACTATGCAAGAATAAATTTCTATTGTTTTAAGCCACCAGGTTTGTGGAAATTTGTAATAGCCACAGAGAACAAATATACCTGGGCAAGTTATGAAGGAATTATGTAAAAACATTCATAAACAGAGAAACATTATACACTTACATATGATCATATGGTACAGATTATTTACAAAGTGATAGCATTGGTTTCCTCCAAAAATTTGGGCATCTCTAAGTATTATAGGGTTGATGTGGTGTCTCTGAACAGGAAAGGCTCAGTTCCTGTTCTCCGTCTTGCCTTCTCCAAGGACTTTGTTAGTGAGACAAGAAAGAGAAGAGCATCATTTCTTGAGGTCTCTACAGCAACTCCCTTGGATCTTTCAGCCTCTGAGCTGAGCAGGCCAAGAAGGAAACCCACATATTGGAGACCCAGCCCTCTAGATCAGCAGATGTCAGTAAGGGACAGACAGACACATGAGTAGTTTTACCCACACCCTAGCGATGGATTTGAACCTGTCGCTCAGGAGTTATCAGTGCTTTAACCCATCATACCCTGTGATCTTTCCCAACAAGGACGGTCTTGCTGTTTTATTCATTTACCTGAGTCTTTATTTACCTGCAGTGGTTTCAGAGAGTTGGCCCGCAGCTCTCCAACCTGAATTAGGGAGCTGTGTTTATGTGCTGATGGTGTTCAAATTGCTCAAAGAACATTAGAGAAATTGTGACTAAAACAGGAAATTATAAACAGTTTTAATTCCCCTTGGGATCTGTGAAAACAGCAATTGTGATTCCAGAAAGCAGAGATGCAAATTGCTTGCAAATTCCGTTTGCTAAATAAATAGGCCGCATTGTTTGACGTGGCTGGCCTTGTTTACCATCTGGTGAGAGATGGAGGCCTTCTGACTAAAAGTCCATGTACAACACTTAAAAGTGGTTAAAATCGTAGCTTTTATGCTACAGATATTTCACCACAATTTTTTTTAAAGTCTATATACAGATACAGTGCCCAGGATCTGCCAGATCAAACTCACTCTATTTGTTCTCTCCTTAAAATAGTTTTGCCTTTTTCTAAAAAAATGCACATCTGTGTCTCACGTTAATATGGCTCTAATTCCTGAATCAAGATCGTTTATTTCTTCAGCTCTCATAAAGTTATCTGCTTTGTGCAGTGTAGATTGAAACAAGCTCGATTTTAAGTGAGCCATCGTAAAAAAGATGCATAATTAGTTTCTAAAGGCAGGCCCAGAGTTGTAACCTGACTCAGTTAGTAGGACTGGTTCAGTGTAAGAGATTTGTAGCAAGTTTCCAGTGTCTCAAGTCCTGTTGCCTTCCTGTTTTTCTTTGCCAAACCTCAGAAAATGCCCAGGCTCCCATATTCCCACATTTTCTCAATAGGGCCCAGCCTCCTCCAGAGCCAGCAGGTCAGATGGGTGCCCTCCGGGGGTGCGTGTGCGTGTTCTTTCCAGCATGCGTGTGCGTTTCCTCTTGCATGGGTGTGGTGTATCTTGGGGGTGGGAGGGGAGTGAGGGGAGTTTGTTGACTTAGGACAATTTTGAATTCTGCTCATTTCATGCTGGTCCTTCCTGAGCTTGGGCCATCAACTAAGGCCTAAACTTCTGGCCTAGACCAGAATCCAAGACCAATGAGGGGACGTCAACAAGAGGGCCCCTGTGTGCACTGAGCAGGTCTGTAAGGGGGATTTTTTGAAACCCCCTTAACAAGCATGGTAAAACAATTCCAAAATTATTCACCTCCTCTACCTAGAACTGGGGAGGGCTGCTGAGCAGTTTCCATCCACTGGAATACATTTTTATTTGTGCTTGCTTGGAAGTGCTAAGGGAATCTTGGGACTAGAAGCTCTTTGGGTGGGAGTGAGAGTTAAGAACACTGCTAAGAAGGATGAGCATCCAGGCAGATGGCATTGCAGCTTGAGCTTCTGAAGGGAGGTTAAGGGCATCTCTTCCAACCCTGAGCCCCAGGCAGGGTTCCTTTCTCTCAACTCTGTGCAGTGTTTCTCAGCCTCCACACGGACACTTGCAGTGGTGAGGGCCTCTACCCAGCACAGTCTGTTCTTGGACAGCCCTCATTGTTATAATATTGTCACTATTGAGCAAAATCTGCATTTTGGGTGCATGCCATCTCCTGGTCCCAGCTGTGACCTTGGTCACATCCCCATGTGGGATAAAATTGTACCCTATGTATGTACTCCCCTCTCCACATTCAGAGACTCATGACTGTAGCCCAAGCTACTGGAAGAAATTTGACCAGGAAGCTGTGTTTTCTTAGTCTTTATTTACCGAATCATCAAACGAAGTAATATTAATGGCTGTCGTTGCAGTGAGTGCTTCCAGGATGCCAGGTACCATGCCCAGTGCTTTATATATGTTGTCTCATTTAAACCTCCAACAACCCTATGGGAGTTGGTATTACTATCTTTACTTCGGGAAAACCAAGGCTTAGAGAGTTTAAGTAATTTGCTGTAGATCATCTAGCTAGTAAATTTATGGACCTGGGATTTGAACCTAGGTCCACCCACCCCAGAGCCTGTCCTGTAGACTCAGATAAAGCAAGAAAAGAAATCAGCAAAGTCAGGGACCAGCCCAGTGGTGTAGTGGTTAAGTGCAGCCCAGGCATGGGTTCAGATCCTGCGCACAGACCTACACACTGCTCATCAAGCCATGCTGCGGCAGCATTCCACATACAAAGTAGAGGAAGAGTGGCACAGATGTTAGCTCAGGGCCAATCTTCCCACCAAAAAAAAAAAACCCAGAGAATCAGACAGGAAAAAAAGAAGCTGATTGCTTTATGTTCCCTTCAGGGATATCCTTTTGAAAGCTCCCTGCTGCTCAGTAATTCCTTTTATAGGATATTTGAAAGGAGAGAAGAAGAATGAGAAGGTAGTCCTGGCAGTTCATGAGCCTTGTCAGTGCCCCTCATGGCCGTGAGCACATCAGGTCACCATTCCCTCGTGCCTGTATAGGCTTGAGCTGCAGCCATCTTTGGGAGAAAGTTCAAATCATGGTTTTGTTTTTAATCTTTGTAAACAAATGTTGGGAAGTAAATTAGGTTATGATATAGCCCAGTGGGGTTTTTTTTAATTTACTTTTTTATTGAGCTATAATCATATACACTAAAATACAGTGTCTTAATCAGTTCAGGCTGCTGTAACAGGAATACTGTAGACTGGGTGGCTTCACCAACGTTTTTATCACCTAGAAGCTGGGAAGTCCGAGATCATGGTGTCAGCAGATCACATGTCTGGTGAGGGCCCACTTCCTGGTTTGCACGTAGGCTGCTTCTTATATCCTACATGATGGAGAGCAGAGAAGGAGGGAGCCAGCTCTCATTTGTCTTCTTACAAGGACGCTAATCTCATTCGTGAGGAATCCACCCTCATGACTTAATTACCTCCCAGAGGTCCCACCTCCTTCTGCCATCACAGTAGGGGTTAGGATTTCAACATTTGAATTTGGGGGGATACAACCATTCAGTTTGTAACGTATACAAAATCCTAAGTGTCCATATAGTTTCCTGAGTTTTGGCAAATGTATGCATCGGTGTAGTCAGCCCAATCAACATGTAGGGCATTTCCGTCACCCAGAAAGTCCTCCCAGGCCCCTTTCTAGTCAGTCTCCTTCCCCAAGCAGAGGTAAGCTATGGCTTGTTTGGTGTTTGCTGTATACTCCTCCCTGCAAACAGATTAGGACTTTGATTACAGGGCCAGAACTCAGATGCTCTCTTATAGGAGAGTGACGCCTCCTATCATTTTGTGCTCTTGTCACCTCGCTCACCTCACCCTAGTCCCAGCCTGTTTGACAGGGTGGCCTGTTACAGAGACACGAAAATGGTTTGCTCCACACACAGTCGATTGTGTGGCGTGGCCTGGCCCCACGGTTGGCTAAATCAAACTCAACCATTCCTGTACTTCCAGGATTTGGTGAACATTGACTTCAGTGAACATCATGGTTTTAAGTGAGTTATGTTCCCCTCCTTACAGAAACAATTCCTCCCCCATAACATTGAGAATTCTCTAGTAACTGCATTAAGATATCCCTCCCCCGGGTTCAGGCAGAGTCTACTGTGACAGCCCATCAGCGTTGCATGCGGACGCTGCACTTTCTCACGTTCCAGGCCTCCCATATGCAGGCATTAGCTTACCAAACCGGCTATATTCAACCTGCTGGAGGGGTGGGTGTTCTGATTCCTCACGAATCCGTGTTATTAGTGAGGACTCTACTTGTGTTCTTCATGGATCCTTGTTACTAGAGGGGACTATAATGGTGATGCTTGTTTTGTAAAGTTTAGAATCATTTGTATTTGGTAGAACATACTTAATGCAAAACCTGGTCTGAACATAATTTAATCTTCCCTCGATGGCTCCAAAGGTAGTTGAGAAGCCTTCAGTCCTTGGAAATCATCATTACAGTTCCTATTCAATTCATGTAGAATTTCTAGTTAGCCAACAAGTAGAGAATTTCAGCTAATGCAAGATCAGATGTGGTCTTCCCATATTTGCATGTTCCGTTTACAAGATTTTTCCAATTCCAGGTAGGAAAACTACACTCAGAACTAAGTTTGGAAATGAAACCTTATGTAAACTCTGTCCAGTTCTTCAGATAAGAATTCACCTTCCAAAATCTGCCGTTTTAGGTAGAGGTTAAAAACACAGGCGTTGGAATCAGACCTACCTGGGTTCAGATCAGTTACCTATGAACTGTGTGACCCTGATCAAGCCACTTACCACCTTGACCCTCAGTTTCCTCATCTGTGAAATGGGGCTAAGAATTGTCTGTGTCCGTATGTTTGTTGTGTGGATTAAATGAGAATACACAGGGAGGGCTTCACAAAGCCTGGCACAAGGTGCTCCATAAGTGGCAGCATTTCAAAGACAAAGTCAATGATAATTTTATAGTCTCATCAACCAGATGAGACCAATTTAGGGCTCTATATTTTGGTTATATGTTCTCGGACAGAAAGAGATCTTAAAGAGGTTCTGCTAATTCAGTGAAGGTATCTCATGGGGTTCAGGGGACAATGGAGGTCGCCAGTCAGTGGCCAGGTCTCTGAGCCCCCAACCAGCACCCACACAGAACAGCTCTGCTTTTGTCTGTTTCACATACTAGTTTCCATGACATCTTTCCTTTGGACCACTACTTGGAAAGTTATGAAACCACTGATTTAGTCCATCCCGCTCATTTCATTGATGAAGAAATGGGGGCTCAGAAAACCTAAGTGATTTCCCATGCCCGCAGCAGAGGTCTTCTGACACCCAGCCCTGTTCGGTCCCAAGACCCCACCCTGTTATAGATGGAGAAATCTAAAAGTAGAAAGAAGACAACGTTGAATCAGCTTCTGAGTTTTCACATGTTCTTCCAGCCAGTTCCTACTACCAAAAATGCCTCTAGAGAAAGAAAATCATCTGTTTTACCCCCACCCCGTGGCTCAATTTGTGAAAGTCCTGGTTTGTGGAGTGACAGTGGTGGGTGGCAGGAATCTCTGTAAAAAAGATATTCTCCTGGAGGTCTTTTGTCCTCTTGTGCCACAGAATCACTGCTCCATCTGGCGACCATTGCTCCATTCTGTGGTCACTGACCACACCTCTCTCCATGGCTAGCATCTTGCAACCATATTCACAGGGGTCCCCAGTAAGAGAGTGCAGGTGACATCAGGTTTCCATCCCTTCTGTCAGAGAAATATCTCCCACCAGGACTCCCCCCAGCATCCATTTGGTACTCAGTCTCTTACTTTGCCACAATCTCTGTTTTCCAGCCTCTCAACATTGCCTACAGCCACATCTACAGCTCCTACAGAAACTTCGTGGGGCCTCCTCATTTCAAGACCATCTGCAGGCTCCTGGGTTACCAGGGCATCGCTGTGGTCATGGAAGAACTGCTGAAGATCGTCAAGAGCTTGGTAAGAAGGGGCCTCAGTGAGGCCTGGGATGCGCCCAGGTGGGGTTGATAGGAACAAGATCTGCTTTCACTTTTTTTTTTGGTTTTTTTTTTGGTGAGGAAGATTTGCTCTGAGCTCACATCTGTTGCCAATCTTCTTCTTTTTTTGCTTGAGGAAGATTAGCCCTGAGCTAACATCTGTGCCAGTCTTCCTCTATTTTGTATGTGGGTCGTCACTACAGCATGGCTGATGAGTAGTGTGGGTCCACACCTGAGACCTGAACCCATGAACCCTGGGCCACCAAAGCAGAGTGTGCCAGATTTAACCACTACACCACAGGGCCAGCCCCTGCTTTTACTTTTCGCCTGGCCTATAAAATCCAATTACAGGCACCTTGGGTCTGTCTGTAGGCCTCACCCAGGGAATCCTTTGCCTTTATCCCTCTGTTCCTCTTGCCTGTTGTCTGTAACATTTCTGTGGACATTCTGACCCATGACTTTCCCTCTCAGTTTCCCAGCCTGAGCCCACTCCTTGTATTTGATAACTGAGCTCAGAAATCTTGATTTTGACATTTAAGACCTACTAATGACTGCTCATGTTCCCCTCCTCTGCTTTGTTATCTGACTTGAGCATGGCAAATCCTTGACACATGGGCTGTCATTCCTCCCTCCCATGCCCATGGCAGACATCTCTAATCAATCACCACACTTCTTCCCCGTGGGATTTCTTGCTAAAAGCTGCTACCAATACTGCACTGGCCTCAAGGGACTTCTCTATCCCTTTGCCAACATTCTGTACCCACCCCAAGTATAGTCATCTGAACCTTCGTTTAATTTCCCAGAACACTGTTGAAGAAAGGCTGAAACATTTAAACAAGATTTCCCTGAAAATTTGAGATGACAAAAGAGAAATAAACAAAGTAATGTATAACCATGTCAGGATTAGCAAACAGGATTGACCTGCTAACTCCAGTCATCTGGTAGCAACTGTGTGGAACCAACGGTTGTTATGGATTGTGAAGCTAAATCCAGAGTTAAACAGGAAAATGTGGTAATTGATTAAAGATGTCTGCCTTGGACACAGGAGGGATGAATATGCCATGTATCGTCCATGCTTAAATTAGATAATGCATCTCAGTCTCCACAGCTCCCTTGCCCCATGTCATTTTAGCGCTTTACCTGGATCTTATGTAAGTACCCCAACCCCAGGAAGGACCCCATGCCTAGAAATTGCCCTCCTTGAAGTCCATAAGCCCAAGAGAGTAATGAGAGAGTGCTCTTTTCTGTCTTAGAAAGGCCCATTTTCCCTTATAAAGGGCAGTGGGCTGTCCCTCGCCTTTAGGGGAGAAGCTGCTCCCTCCTTCCAGGGAGCGGTACCTTACTGTCTTGGGCAGCTTGCTGGGGGCTTAAACAACACATGTTTATTTCTCACAGTTCTGGAGGCTGCAAGTCCAAAGGCAGGGTGCAACCATGGGCAGGTTCTGGTGGGGACGCTCCTCCTGGTTCAGGCTGCCTTCTCACTGTGTCCTCACATGGCAGGGTACTAAGCCCATCAGGAGGGCTCTGCACTCCTGACCTAACTACCTCCAAATACCATCACATTGGGGATGAGGGTTTCAACATACGAATTTAGGGGGACACAAACATTCAGTCCGTAGCACTTCCCACAGGTCCCAACAGAACCCCCTCCACCCCAGTAGCCCACATTCAGTCTGGAGATGCACAAATGCAGCAGCAGAGGATTATTTCACTCCTCGTGTGCTCTCGTTTTGTCAGCTCCAGGGCACCATTCTCCAGTACGTGAAAACGCTGATCGAGGTGATGCCCAAGATATGCCGCTTGCCCCGGCACGAGTACGGCTCCCCAGGTGGGTGATGGGGAAGCAGGGGCGGGGGTGGTGCTGGGAAAATCATCCAAACCCATCCCATGGTGGGAAGGGGCCTCTGGCCATCTGCCTTGGAGTGTCTGCTCCTCTAACGTCAGGGAGCTGGCAGAGCACTGCCTCTGCATCCTACCTCTGCCCCTGGCTGGGTAGCCTTGAGCCATTTCCAGTCCCTCTAGGCAATACTCTTCCATCAGTGAGGGTAAGTGATGCCTGCTGGGTCTGCCTCACAGGACTGCTGGAGACTGGAGGAAGATAGCAAATGGGAGAGCATTTAAATAATGAATAGAAGTTTACTTGTAAAAGTCTTCATTAGCTCAGCATCTCCAGGATTTCTTCCTCCGTTTGCCCAGTTAGGAGGAGGCAGGTGCCCAGGTGGTGGTACAAAGTGACATTTCTAAGGTGAGTCAGGAAACAGGAGTTTTTGCCACCCCGCTTCTGGGCAGAGAAATAATTCTTTCTTTCCCTGATAGTGAATGGAGCAGAGGCTGAATTTGGAGCCTGGGGAATGGGGAAAGATGGAGTCTATGAGTTTGGTACCTGGTGGTTTTTTTGTAAAACCACGATGTCACATGCTAAGTCAGTGTGATTCAGAATAGGAAAGGGCTGGGGTCAAAAGCTCGGTTTTCAGTCCTGGCTGCCCCACTTACTAGCTGTGTGACTATGGGCATGCCACTTGCCCTCTCTGAGCCTCATCTGAAAACAGGGGTAATAGTGGCTAGTTCATGGTATTGTTATGAGTGTTAGATAGTGCTGATAAAGTGCTTAGCACAGTATCTAACACCTATAAACAAATATTAATTCCTGTTATTATTAGGAGTTAAGGCGACTTTTTAGAGGGACTAGGAAAGATTCAGGGCTGCTATTTGTGTGTGTGTGTGTGTGTGTGTGTTTTGGTTTGTTGCAAAAAATATTTGAGCCAGCCTCCTGAGCTTTCTGCTTACTGAGCCCTGAGAGAAGTCTCACCCCTGAGTCCACATGTAGAGGGGTGTATGGTTTGGCCTTTGCAACCCCAGCGTCAGGTCCGGGGCTGCTCCTCATTTGGCACTCCCCATAAACCTGGCTGAGCTGTGTCCGCTTCCCGCTGACCACCCCCTTCATCTTCCAGGGATCCTGGAGTTCTTCCACCACCAGCTGAAGGACATCATTGAGTACGCAGAGCTCAAAACAGACGTGTTCCAGAGCCTGAGGGAGGTGGGCAATGCCATCCTGTTCTGCCTGCTTATAGAGCAAGCTCTGGTGAGTTCTGAACCCAAAGGGATTGGCGTGTCTCCAGGCTGGAAGGGACCCACACCCCAACCAGATACTTGAGGCCCCTCTAGCGCACCCTGGCCCGGAGGCCCTGCAAGGCAGATTCATGTTCTTCCAGTGTGGGGCACGTAGTACTTCTCCGTTCCATCTTCAGACAGCTCCAACCTTTCGAACACTGGGAGGAACACAGACCCTGGAGTGAGACAGACCTGGGTTCCCATCCCAGCTCCACCGTCACTGGCTGTAGGATCTTGGTGACCCATCAGAGTCTTCATTTTCTATCCACTCATTAAACAAATAACTCCTCCTTGGCTGCCCTAGGCCAGGCACTGTGCTGGGGGCTATAGACATAGCAGTGGCCAGTCCCTGCCTCGTGTCCTGTACAATAGAGGAGAGACCTGCACTGAACAAGTATTTGCAAAGAAATGATGTGTCTACACTCACAGCAAGTGCTATGAGGGACCAGTGCAGGGTCCAGCAGGAGCATAAAACCAAGAACCTGACACGGTCTTTGGGGTGAGGGAGGTGACCTGGAGAATGACCAGGAATCCACCTGGTGAGAAAGCAGGACAGCTGTTCCAGGCTGAGGGAAGAGGGTGTAGTGCCATCTTCATTTGTTGTGATGGGAGACTGATTCTGCCCTTCGGGGTAGTTTAAAGGCTGAAAGGAGGTCACACATGTAAAGTGCACGCAGTAAGAACTAAACAGTTGGTCATAGTTATCATAATGAGCAAAAGCGTGCCTCCCTGTGCTTCCACCTCTCAGGACCACACAGAACTAGCACACTTTTTCCGACCTGACTGTTCGCCTGTATCCGCCAGCGCTCACGGTTTATGCACAGAGACTGCGTCCTCCACATTCTTCCCAGTGTGCTCAGTTTGTCTCTGCTCTTCTCCATGTGTGGTGTCCTCAGGTGGGCCCAGTCCTACAGGCATGGGGTAACTGGTACAGCCTGAGCGGTGGCAGGAAATAGAGAGAGATCTTGCCCTGGGGAGGCCGATTCCTCAGGCGCAGCGGGACTGTCTTCTGGCATCCATTCCCGCATTGGTCTCTCCATATGCTTATTCAGCAAGAGGGCGTTGAGAACCCGCTCGTTACCTGGCGCAGTTCTAGGTTGTGGGCAAATGGCTGTGAATAAGAGAGACACATTCTTACCATTTTTATTCCGGAGAGGGAGACGACTGAAGAAGTGTACAACCAAAGACTGCGAATTCAGCTGCTGGTCCTTGCTATGGAGGAATAAACAGGGAAATAGGATGGGGAGGGATGGGTGCCAGGAGGGATGTGCTGTCTTTGGAGAGGATGGAGCTTGATGTCGTAGAAACAGAAAGAACCACACAGTGAGCTGGAGTGAAGAGGCAAAGGGACGAGGTAGGACTGAGGAGGGAGAGGCAGGTGGCCGCAGCGCCGGGGCTTGTGAGCCACTGCAGGAAGCCATTGAAGCACTGTGAGATGGCGGGGAGAAGATGGGAGAAGGCGTCTGATTTACTCTTTTTAAAGGCCCTTTTTGCCATTGGGAGAAGAATCAACTGGACGGTTAATGAAGGCCGAGGCTGTGTGCACTTGTCCAGTCCAGGGATCATCTTGGAGGCAGGAAGCACGTGGAGAGGGAAGGGAAAAGAAAGGAATTAGGAAGGAGATGGAACAAAAGTAGAGAGAGGTGGGAAGGAAGTGATAATAGCAAGAGCTCAGAATAAGAGCCCCAGAAGATTCTTGCCTCTCATTGTCTGTGATCTGCAGTGAGCTGTTCACTCCATGCTTCGGGGTCCCCATCTCTGCAACAAGGGATGTGTACCCAGTGCTCTCGCAGACCCTTCCCACCAGAGCCTCTGAAATGCGCACTGTTTTACTCATCCTTTGTAAGGAGTAATTGCCTTTCTGTTCCCCTTCAAATGGACTCTCGAGACAGCTTAGTGTTCCGCTTTATGGTGACAGGTTTTTAACATGGTTCAGTGGGTCTGGGTTGCTATGGCAACTGAGCCTTCAGAAGTCACAGGGATAAGGAAGAAACGTTGCTCTGCTCCAGGCCTCAGGAAGATGAAGAGAAGCTTCAGGGGCTCCAGAAGGGTGGAGGTGGGAGAGGACGGCCATGAGGCCTCAGTGCTGACGTGTCTTCTGTTAGCACCTCCTCTCAAGAGGAGCTGGGACAGTGTCACCTGTGCAGACCCCAAGAGGCAGATTATTGATGGGGCCACAGGAAAGGAGAAATTTTTCCCAAGCATCCCTGCCTGGGTGTTCGCTTGCATATATCACTGAGGACAACAGGATACTCAGGATCAAAGACCTTCAGAGCTGAGGGAGGGAGACCCCAACAGTATATGTGTTCCAACCTCCTGCATTCGTAAGTGAGGAAATAGAGAACCAGAGAGAGGAGCAACTCTTGGGGTCACACAGCACATCAGCAGCAGAGGGGGAAGAATGACAGCATAGGTTTCCAGTACTGATCCCAGCCCTGGGCAGAGGGTAAGACACATAGCAAGGATCAGGGCTCCCCAAAGCTGTGTGCTATGCTTTCTGCTTAGACAAGTGGGGCTAATCCCCAGGCTAAGATGATGCTTTCTGAGTTTAGAATGAGGCGTGAGCTTTCTGGAGCCTTTTGGTTTATGAAGCTGAAATAAAATAAATATTTAAATGACATAACAATCGTTCTCATTAAAGAGGAGTACTAATAGGAAAAAAAAGAAAGCAAGGAGGAAAGGGAGGGGAGGGCGGAGGAAATAAGGAAAGAAGTAAGCATTAATGGCCATCCATAGGGAAAGGGCTATTTCAACTGGAACATCCATTCTTATAGGAGGACTCGGAAGCAGTTAAAAAGAATAAGGTACTAGAGGAGCTTTGCACATACTAACATAGAAAATAGTGAAAGACGTAATGTTGAGTGAAAAAAAGCAAGTCCTAGGACTAGATACACATTGTGATGCCATACATGTAAAATAAACAAATAAAAAATAAAACTCACAAAATAACCCTGCATTTGGGGCCAGCCCCGTGGCCTAGTGGTTAAGTTCACACTCTCCGCTTCCACGGCCCAGGGTTTCACCGGTTTAGATCCTGGCTGCGGACAAGGCAGCGCTCATCAGGCCATGTTGAGGGGGTATCGCACATGCCACAACTAGAAGGATCCATAAGTAAAATATACAACTATGTACTGGAGGGATTTGGGGAGAAAAAGCAGAAAAAAAAGAAAGAAGATTGGCAACAGTTGTTAGCTCAGGTGCCAATCTTTAAAAAAAACAAACACTGCATTGAAAAAAATTTTAGAGAAAAACGTACCAAATAATTCAGTCGTTGTCTCCAGGTTCAGGGAGGGAACTAGGATTAGAGGTCCACAGGGACTTTCGCTTTGTCTGGAATGTCTGATATTTTAAAAGGAAAGTATATTCACGTGAGGTCACATGTCCCTTAATGATGGGAATGCGTTCTGAGAAATGCATCGTTAGGCAATTTCTTCATTATACGAACATCATAGAGTGCACGTACACAAACCTAGATGGTATCGCCTCCTACACACCTAGGCTGTATGATACTAATCTTATGGGACCATTGTCATATATGTCATCTGTCATTGATCGAAATGTCGTTATGCAGTGCATAACTATATTATTATTGAACTAAAAATGAATTTAAAAAATAGAAGTAGTGTATAATAGCTTTAGAAAAACTGTAAGGATACCGAAAAGTACAAAGTGAGAAGTCTTTTGCCCATTTTTCTCCTATGTCATCTTTTTCTAATAGATTTGCAGGGTTCTTTCTGGTTGTGGGTTCCACAGAGATGTATATGCTATGAATACCTTCTCTCATTCTGTGGCTTGCCTTTTTGTTTTTAACAGGGATTATTAATATGTCATTAACTTGTAAGTGGAGGGAATATAAATTGAAAAGGTTGATTACTTGGGCAAAAGTATATTTTTTTCTTTAAGTTAGGTGCTTATAAATGTTTCTCAGAATTCAGGGTGCAGTATTAGTACAGAAACCCATATACCTAGGAGCGGGTTGTTGGGTTGCTTCGTGTTTTTAATTAAGGTCTAGCATATATACAGTAATATATGGAATATGCAGGATTCTCACTGCATAGACTAATCGAATCGTCTGTTTTACGTGGATGGACATTTGGGTTGTTTACAGAGTGCCGCTGTTAGGAATAAAGATGTCGTGACTATCCTTGTACATTTCTTTTGGTAGATATATGCACTCATTTTTATTAGGTAAATTTACCTCATCGTGGAATGGCTGGGTCAATGTGGAGACATATGTTTACCTTCAGTAGATACTGCCAAACAATTTTACAAAGCAGTTGTACCCGTTTATTCTCCCATTCAGCAAAGTATGGAGTTAATGTCTTCGCATCCTCATGAACACTTGGATTTGTCCATCTTTTCAGTCATAGTTATTCTGGGGGATGTGTGGTGATATCTCCTTATGGCTTTGATTTCCCTGGTGACTGATGATGCTGGACCTTTTTCCATATGGCATTGCTATTTTGTCAGCCTCATTTGTGAAATGCTCTTCAATATTTTGCCTGTTTTTTAACTGAGTTATCTTTTTCTTATGGATTTGTAGGCATTATTGATATATTATGGAGCATGTATTGCAGATGTATATCTGTGGCCTGTCTTTTGATGAACAGAAGTTCCTAAGGCTTAGTGTATTTATCATTTTTTTCCCTGTATGGTTGGTGCTTTTTTGACTTGTTTAAAAAATCTTCGCTACTCTAAAGTCAGGAAGATATTTTATCTCTGAAAGTTTTAGAGTTTAGCCTTTCAAGACTTAACAGACCTTTATTCCCCTGGAATTGATGTTTGTGTTTGGTGGGAGGTAGAAACCCAGTTTTCTTTCTTTGCAAGTTGTCCCAGCACCACTGCCTGAGAAGACCACCTTCTCCCCTCTCTGCAGTGATCTGGTGTTTATCAAGCAACCACACAGTGTCTGGTCATGGCAGGCTCTTAAATATTTGTTGGGTCTAATCTGAAATGAATCAACATTTGTTA